TTAGCCTAGATCAGAGGTTAAAAGACATTTTATGTAAAGAGCCAGACATCTGGCAACTACTTAATTCTACCTCTATAATGTGAAAGCTACATAGTTAACACTTTCAGTGAATAGGTGTAGCTGTATTGCACTAAAACTTTATTTACAAAATAGATGGCTGGCAGTCTGTGGACTGTAATTGAAGACACCCTGGTATAGATTATAAAAGATGCTACCTTATCTACTTAATGTTAAGGTAGGGCAAGGTATTTAATTAGTATGAAATAATTTATTCTGGGTACCTATTTCAAAATAGGATAGAATGTTCTAATAGGAAATGGATCATACAGATCACTTGGCACAACCTTGTTTTACTGATAACTTAGTTTCAAAACTCAAAGAATTGGCAGATCTTGTTGATTAATTAGATTAAGGAGAAAACAGATGAGTTGAGACCTAGAGTTAAATGAGATGCTCCTGATTTGAGTTCCTGACTCCTGAAACCCATTTTGCAGAAACAGGAGCTCCCTGTGTTGTTTCAACCTGGGGCCCATCCTCCCTCGCTCTCTGCCCCCACTTCCCCATATACACACACAAGGCACAGGAGGCAGAGATTGATTAACAACATGAAGGTCTAGGCTCTGGGGAACAGCCCCAGCTCACGCAGCATCCTGTTACAGAGCCATTATTAGATCATAGGTGCTGCTCCTGGGCTCCTTCCACTACTGCCTGTCTCCTCACAAGTCCAGACTTCTCTTCAGCTGCATGGTTGTCTAGAGCCCAGAATAGACTAATGTAAGTAAATCAGATTATTTATTTATTTTAGAGAGAGTTTTAAGCAGACTCTGCACTGAGCATGGAGCTAGACACAGGGCTTGATCTCACAACCCTGAGATTACTACCTGAGCTGAAACCAAGAGTCAGATGCTTAACTGACTGTGCCACCCATGTGCCCCAGATTTTTTATTTTTTTAAATTATTTTCTTGTTGATCTTCAGATGAGCTAGACATTGACCTAATTCTGGAAATCTTACCTTAATTTTTTTCTTTCAAAAACTGTCAGTACATTTTTATATGTATGAATTATTAAATGAAAAGACTGGGTGAGAGGAAGCTGGTTATCTGAATTTTTCTGTATAATCTAATGGTGATATCAAATGGATACAACCTGTTTGGGTTACCCTACAGTTGTTTTTTGCTTTTTTTTTTTTTCTTTTTGCTTTCAACATTTCAGAAATCTTAATCCCATCTCTACTCTGGAAGATGAATCTAAATTCAGATATTTGAAGTGGCATACGTGCTGGCTGCTTACTTATCATCTTAAGGGAGAGCTCATGGATTTCCCTTATACATGGATTTGTGGGGGGGAGACTAGTAAAGAAAGTATTTGATACACAATTGGGCATAGCTATCTTGGATTTAATGAGATGTGCTCCTAGCACTTGAGAGGTTTTCTGAAAATACTGGTTTGTAGTAGTTATCAGTATATCATCCTTAAATTGCTATCTTAATTGTCTTCAGTTTCTCAGCAGTGCTTCCTCTTTACCTAAGGGTCTCCCAGTAACCTAACTTCAATAATTGGGATGGGGCTGCTATCTTATATTCTCTTCATTTTTAATGATTAGGAAACAGTAAAGAAATTAATCTTTTCTTGGTGACTTAACATCATCCTTATAAACTACAAATATTATACTCTGCCATGTACAAAGTATGTGATGTTTCCATCAGAGCTATTAACATTTGATTTTCTCTGTTCCAAGACTTTTATGTTTTAAGTCGGTATGATTTTTTCCCTTTCTCCATCTTCATTGTTAGCCTTTGTTGCTGGTTTTCAGCTGTTGGACTGGTAAACTTTACTCTGGAAATACCTTTTTCATTACTGGAATGACTTTGTAGCTTGTGTTTATGAATATACAGATAATTTTGGAGCTGTCTATGTAGAACAAAAATCTGGTTATCTTCAGAATTCACATGAGATGAGCTCTGGGAGCCTGGACATCTGAAGTATGCCACCATGTTTGTTGCTCTTAAGCCATTTTTCATTTTATAGCCAGCTGTCACTCTTGTAATGTACATTGCTATGCCATATTTGTTTGTTAATATGTAAAGTGTATACTAATTAATGGATGTGGGCAGGGGAGATATTTGTTCTGTTGGTGTCCTTAGAAATAGATCAACTATTTCTTGTATACTTGACCTTTAGTTTACAAGGAATTAAAACATTTGATTAGTGCTGTGCAATTTAACAAAAGATAAGATGAGTGCCTTCTGGAAAGATTATGATCAGATGTCTAGAATCCTATGGTGCTGATCTTCCTGGGGATAAGTATCTTTCAAATCTAAAACGGATAAGCCATTTTTTTTAATCACATCGTCTGTTACATTAGTACCAACTAGTAGTATTTTGTATCCTCAGGAAACCATTAGTGGATTCTTTGTTGTGGTCACTCATGTTTTTTGGTAAATTAACTTTGAATTTGTTATTAAAATTTGTTATTAAAAGTGAAGAGAAAGACTAATTAATTATCATAACTTAAAATGGAAGAATGAAACCAGCAGGGTCTTTTACTTTAGGCTGCCAAATGGGCATCAAAATTAGATTTTCTTTCTTTAACCATGTATCTGATAACCTATGTTCAAAAGAAAGACAAAGCTATCTTTACTGTCTACCTAGGCACTTTCCATTTCTTTTTGCACTTGAAGCCAAATTCTTGGAATTTTTTTATGGCCACTTCTTTTATTCCTTCTTAAATACATTTCTTTCTTTTTTTTAATAAGTAGTATTTCAATTTTATTTAAAATATGTATATTTAAAGGTATGTGGTATACAGTGAAGTTGCCTTTCTATCCCAGTCCCCTATTACCCAATTCTCATTGTTCCTCACCACCTACACAAATGCATAGGCAACCACTGTTATTAATGTCTTAGTGTTCTTTCAGGGTTTCCTTATGCATATAATGCAAATATGAATAAAGATATTTATACTTACCTCTTCCATTTTCTACATAAAATTAAAGAACATTACTCATCCAGTTCTCACTGCTTTTTTCACTTTTTTTTCCTCAGATCTTTATGAGCTCATAGAGATTCTTCTCATTTTTTGTGACAGCCACATTCCATTTTCTTGTTAATTAACACCTGGAATCAGACTTAATAACCCTTCCCATTTGCTGAAGACCTATTATCAGGCCTCATTCTTTTCTACCTTTGTCTATCCAAAGTACTATTTCTGAGTAAATCACTACCTTTCAGGCCTTAATGCCAGGATTTGCCCTTCTACTATGCACATAAACATTGTAGAAAGAGGTGCAAGGATTATGGAGAACCTTTGAAGTTCCAAGCAAAGAAATGGGAGAATGAAACAGCCAGAGCCTAGCTTCGATATTGTCCCTTTATCATTTCTGAGGACTCCAACCTTCTAACCTATATGCATTTCAAATATTTGCAGTATCTACATTCTACCTTTTACCCAGAACAAATGCTGACTTTATTGTGGTCTCACAGTCTATGTTTTAACCATCTTGGTCTCCAAAGAGCCTAGCCGGTAGTTGTTCACGTTTATTACATAAATATACCACTCTCTCTAGCTATTTCTTTATTCTGCTTGCTTTCTTTCTCTTTCTGCTATTTCTTTCTCCCAAAGCCTAATTGAGCAATCATGAAAGCTCTCATATTGGTTAATTCTTCCAGTGTCCTCACTGTCACTGCTCAGGAGTTCAGTTACTCTCAGAATTTCAACTGCTACATTTGTGAATGATTTTATACACCTGCATTTCATATCATTTTTCTCTCAGGTTCAGGACTTTTAAATCTACTTCTAACATATCTGTGTTGTATGTTTATTATGTTAACCTTTGTAACAAGGCATTAGGAGATCTGCTCTATAGATGAAGAAACTTTTGTTCAAAGGGATCACACAACTAGTTAGGAACCCATAGCTAGTAGTTGTTAGAGCTGTGACTCAGAGTCACTGCACTTGATTATTCCCTGGAACCTCCACGCAAAACATGGAATGCAAACATTAGGACATCTGAATTCTAGCCTTGCTTCTACCATACTGGACTTCGATGTTAAGCTCTTCTCTGTGCCTATGTTTCATCATCTAGAAAATGAGGAGGTTGGACTAGATATCTAAAGCCCTTTCGCACCAGGTAGTTGTGATCCTGGCTATAAATCTAGGGTTGCTTATAGTGTAAGACTCTTCACCAGTTTCTCTGTACTTTTAAGAGCCAGGGCTGTTTCTCTCTGCTTCAATATACACTAACCCTACAGTTTGGTTGCTGCTTCTGTTTGGGGTTTAGGTACCAAATCAGTGGATTTTATGTAGGCAATAGATGGCTACCCCCCCAAATTTAATACATTTTGTCTTACTAAATGCATTTATATTCTGTTAAGGATGATTTTTGTCCATTGACTCAATGATTTTTAAATAACTGTATGTAGTTGATTTTTTAAAAATTCTTTAAACCTTTAGGTATAACCCAGAAAGACATATGGGTTTGTTCATTTCTTTCTTTCTCAATTTTTTTCCTAAGTCTATAGCCACTGTATCCATTTTACACAATAACTTTATAGTACTAACGCACTTTTAATCCTCATTGGAGAAATATTTTGGTATTATATTGCTTTAGAACACAATGCATTCATTAATAAAGAAATGTAATGAAGACTTTGTAATGGTCTGCATTTTACATAGGAATATTCTTATTTATTTGAGTTTTTCAAGACACATTCTAAAATGGGGCCTTATTTTTACTTTAATATGCTCTGTATAAAGGTGCTTTTCCTAGCCTACATATAAAATGATGTTTCTTTTATTTTTAATAAAAAGAGCTAATACCTTATTGGATAGTTTTGTTTTGTAACTTAGTAGTAACTTATGAGCAGAAAGTATAAAAAATAAAGTACTACTTTTTCAATTGTTACTTATCCAATTTGGACTATATATAACTAATTCAGGAGATTTATTTAAAATATTTTATGCAAAATATTTCAATTTATTTTTTTCTTCTTGTTGCAGGAGCTAGAGTTAATGCCAAAGACAGCAAATGGTTGACACCTTTACACAGAGCAGTTGCATCTTGTAGTGAGGTATGAAATTTCTTTTAGTAAATATATCGTATATAAAAGCATTAAGTAGGCTTGCCTGTGAGCCTATATTCAAATTCTGTGTTTTCAAAAGAAGGAAAAGGCAACTGAAAATACCTAGACTGGTTAATTTACTTTAAAATTTGTACAGACCAACTTAACTGTTCCCATTTCTCTTTTGTGACAAAGTTCTCTTGGAGAGTCTGAAGTGCAGAGAGTAGAAAACCCTCCTTATGTACGCTCTACAAGAGAGATTATTTTCTATACCTATAAAATCCTCCTCAGTCTTTTCTCTTCTGGACGTGCTGCAAAGGTTCTGCTGACCATAATCAAGAAATAATAATCTCAGCAGTATGTAACAGTTCATTGAAATATTGTTTAGTTAAACACTGAAATTAACTTCAAAAACATGATGTGATCTCACATTTTACCAGTTCTAAATATACGACCTAAAATGTTAGGTGTCTTATGGGGAAGAACAGTTTCTTATTTATAACCCTGTGTATGATTTGTTCTTCAAGATAACTGACATTTTTGGAGAACATTCATTTTTATGTTTTTCATATCTTCCAGTCCTCATGACACCCTTGTAGGATAGATATTTTGAGGGAGTTGTAGTTAATGATTTGCCATAAACCACTCAACTTTTGAGTAGCAGAGATGGAATGAAAACCTGGACCCTCTTTTTTGTCATCTTACTCTCTTTCTAAAATGTATTAGGTGCATTTTACAAAAGCCTTGTGCCAAAGGAACTCTTGTCTCTTCATTCTTCTTTGTATTCCTCGTTGTGAATGTCTTGAACCCAGAACCAGTGAAGAGAAGTAGGGGCAGAGTGGCTGGGAAGGATTTCAGACCCTGAGATGTGACAGGCAGTGTTAGCTGTAGCCTCCTACTTGGAAGGAGGAGAGAGGGAACAGTGGGTGGTGTGCTGGAGCACACATCTTACCTTAGATCTGGGTCCGTGGTGTGCTCTAGCTGTTGAAATGTGGAACTTGGATCTGGAGAAACTGGCTACACTAGCTGTGTGATCTTAGGCAGATCTGGGGATTATCATGAAAACTAAGACATTAACCAAAATACTTTGAACTCTGAAATTCCATGGGAATATTTGGTGGTTAGCCCTCTTGTAAAGAGTTTCTATAAACAAGGGCAGTTAAGGAAGATAAACATTACTGTCTTTGGAACCTATTAAAAAGTTAGACCTAACCATTTTTTAGTATGACTCTTGGGAATGTGATTATTAAAATTGGTGTTTTGCCAAATTAAGTCATAAGAAGGAACACTTTGTATATTTGTAGAGATTGTGAAACAGACAAAAAATTCTTAAAATAATTAATGGTAGAGGAAGATGGCAGGTTCTTCCCAAAATCTTGACAGCTGATTTTTTAAAACTGTGTACTTAGCCTGAGCTGTAGGTTAGAAAGCAGTGATCTTAAGTTTCTTAAGTCTGCTTTCATCCTAAAAATTACTGGGCTGTGTAGTATTACTCTTTTGCAGGAAACCTAGTCAAGATTATCAGTTTCACCCATGTTCTTTTAATTTTTTCTATTACATCCTCAGAGCAAAAGAGAGTTGTACTTAATTTCATTTAATAAGAAAATATAGCCACATAAGGGTATGGAAAAGACAAAATTTTAGGCAGCTTTGGTTTATGTTTTTGAGATACCATGAGAGAAGTAAACCCTACACAGGATGATCAGAGTGACTGTTTTCTCAATTCTCCAAGGCCTTTGGAAGCTAACACCATTGTAGAGCATAGTGGAGAAGTTAATTCATCACAGGATGCCTTAGGTCTAATTCCCTCACTGTACCTAGGCTGAGAAAGGCTGCTTCTGGTTACATATCCTTAGCTCCTCCACTCTCCCTTAGTGACATGGCTTCCACACACTTCATCATATTGGCTGGCTGACTTGTTTCATCACCAGAGATTTGTGACTTCCATTCTTCTAGTGGAGTGTACAGTTCAGCTCTCTGTAAATGCAGAGTATTCTTCTGAATAAATTGATTTCTGAGTATTAGGACTTTGTGTGTGTGTGTGTGTGTGTGTTGGTTTTTCTTTGCTTGTTTTTTTAAGAAGCCACATCACACTGCTAGATCCTCTAGAAGATATACATTTACTTTTTTAACTTAACTCTAGGAATTACATTTTAGTTCTATCAAGACACTGAGTTTATATTATCACATGAGTTATTAATAGCCCATCCAGCTATTAAAGTTTATTTGCAAATGTATTAGCCCTTCTTTTTCCTGTGCCTGACTTCAGATCAATGGTAAGAATTGCTAAAAAGGCAGAGCCACAGACAGCTAGTGCTGTACAGACTCTTCTAGATTGACCCCAAGCTATGAATAAATACTCTTTAAATAAAATTATTTAACCTTTTGTCATCACCCCATATTTCATAATCTTATTAAAATCAGTGTCCTGGGATATTTTCTTAGCTGTTTTTCCAAAGTCAAGGCACATGTGCAGCATTTCTTATATATACATAGCATCTAATAATGGAAAAATTGCTATTGAGGTTACTATGGTAATTGCCATTAGTAAAACCATGTATACCCTTTATTATCCCTATATCATTTTCTGAATGCTTATGATGTGCTGATAATATGATCTAGAATTTTATTAGGTTATGACATCAGGCTCATTGATTTGCAATTTCCAGAAATTTGCCTGTTTAGGGGCACCTGGGTAGCTCAGTCTGTTAGGTGTCCGACTCTTGATTTCAGCTCAGGTCATGATCTCAGGGTTGTGAGATCAAGCCCTGGATCAGGCTCCACATTGGGCGTGTAGCCTGCTTAAGATTCTCTTCTTCCCTCTCCATCTCCCCCCCCACTCTTGTGTGCTCTCTCTAAAAAGAGAGAGAAAGAAAGAGGAAGTGAGGGAGGGAGGAATTTACCTGTTTGATTTGGTTTAATGTCTCCCATCTGTATATTTGTTTTTTCTGAATTTTTAAAGATCACTGCTATCGTGATCTGACATACTGTTCTGAGCGGTAAATGGTGGATAGATTAGTTAGTTTGGGTTGCCATAACAAAATATTATAGACTGGCTGGCTTAAACAACAAAATTTATTTTCTCATAGTCTGGAAGCTAGAAGTCCTAGATCAAGATCTAGCAGAGTCCATTTCTGAAGAGGGCTGTCTTCTGGGGTTGCAAATTGCTACTTCTCACTGTGTCTTCACATGGTAAAGAGAAAGGGGGTATCTTTCTCTTCCTCTTCTTAAAAAGCCGCCAGTCTTATCAGATTAGGTTGCCTCTCTTTCATCTCATTTAACTTTAATTTTTTCCTAAAGACCCTATCTCCAAATACAGTTACGCTGGGAGTTTAGGGCTTCAACATATGAATGGAAACACAATTTGGTCCATAGCAGTCAACCCATGGTTCAAACATTGCTCTCTGTTGATTCTAGGATCTTAGTAACTGTGTTTATAGCCTTTCTTAGGTTCCATCTTACTTCCCTTACCTACCATTAACTGGATTTTGTTTTTGCTTTTCAGTGAAACAAAAGAATAGTTTTGATTTTTCTACTTCTTGGTAATGGAACATAAGTATTCTCCAGACTTTTCAGAAGATTTAATGTATGCACTGTGAATTCCAGAGTGGGAATGAATAAGGCAAGCCTGGCATCTATAGTATGCCGTGTTTGCCTAATTTATCCAATTATAAATTCTTCATTTTGTTTTTAATTATTTTCTAGTATATCCATCAGCACACCAACTAACATTTCCCAGTATAGTGTTCATTTTATCCCCCAAGTCACAATATGCCCTTCTTGAGATGGAGAATCCTGATGGTGTGTTTGTACCACTTCCTTTCTGTATCCTTTCTCCATATTCCTTTTTTTTAATTGAAGTATAATTTACAGTAAATGCAAAGATATTGTGTGTAGGCTTGAGTTTTGACACATGTATCCATCCATGTAACCACCCATGTAACCTTTTTCCCAATCAAGATATGAAAGATTTCCATCACTTCAACAAATTACCTTTGCAGTCAGTCTTCCTTGTCCCCAGAGGCAACCACCATTCTGATTTCTTACAGCATAGAATAATTTTGCTTATTCCAGAACTTTATAAAAATGGAATCATACACTACGTGCTCTTGTGTCTTGAATTTTTTGTTCAACTTAATATATTTGAGATTCCTCCATATTGTGTACATTGTTTATTCCTTTTATTGCTGAGGAGTATTTCACTGTATGATGTACAACAGTTTGCATATCTGCTTTTTGGCTCTTATGAATAGAGCTACTGTGGATATTCTTGGATGGGTGGGTCTTTTTAAGTTTCTCTTGGGCAGATAACTAGAGTAGAATTGTGGGTTCTAGGGTAGGTCTCCATTTGTATCTTTGCTGGCTGACTTCCTTAGCAGATTGATAGATTACTGGGCATCTCTCATCTTTTGTCAGTCTTCTTAAATACTTACGGTCTTTCCCATATTTCAAACAGTTCTGATTACCTTTTATTTGAAAGGCTTAAAAAAACTATGTGTGAATCACAGATAGTAGTATTTTGTTTAGTCTTCCTTGCTACTTTACATATTGATAATTGCTTGATGCTTTTGAACACTTTTCATGGTGTTTGTTTGTTTTAAGGAAATCAAGGGTCACTGGGGTGCCTGGGTGAGACTCAGTTGGTTAAGGGCCCATCTCTTGGTTTCAGCTCAGGTCATGATCTCAGGGTTGGGAGAGTGAGCCCCATGTCAGGCTCCACGCTCAGCAGGGTGTCTGCTTGAGGATTCTCTCTCCCTCTCCCTTTACCCCTCCTCCTGCTAGCTCGCACATACTCTGTCTCTCAAATAAATAAAAATCTTAAAAATAAATAAATAAAAGAAAAAGAAAAGAAAGAAAAAACCAAAGGTCAGTATTACTAGGCTTAGTTCTGATTCTGGTCCTTTTCATTTCATGTGTACTTCATCATTCATCTGCCAAAGATAGGATTATCACTCCAAGGAGAAATTTTCACTAAGTTTAGTTCTGACTGCTTAATGTAGATAGCATACTGGAGTCCTTAGTATCTAGCCATGAGTCCAATTTATAGATGTGTTGTGAAGTTTTCCTCATCTTCTGGGTGACAAATTCCTTTGGATACTAAGCTTTTAAATTGCCTTGTTAACATCAGCTTTACCAATTAGCAGTACAGCATCTTTTTCTCTGTCTCTCTTTCTCTCTGTCTCTAATAAACTAGATACTAGTGATTTTTCCATTTGTAAAATATAATGTATACTAATAGTATGCTTTAAATTTTTATATATTTAATTGCAAAACAATTTATTCCTTAAAACTGTTTAAAGTACAAATTAATTGTATCTTGTTATCTAGAAAAACAAGAGAAGTAATGAATGTTTTTTGTTTCTTTTTTTTTTTTTTTAGAGAGCATGGGCAGGGGGAGGGTCCGAGGGGGAGAGAGAGAGAAAGAATCCTCAAGCAGACTCCCCTGCTGAGCACAGAGACTGACATGGGGCTCCATCTCCCAACCCTGAGATCATGACCTGAGCCAAAATCAAGAGTTGGACATTTAACCGACTGACCCACCCAGGCGCCCCTATAATTAATGTTTTTAAAGAATATTTGTCAGTATTTGTTCTTGCACATTTTGATCTTGTTATGCCTTTAATAGGAGGACAGAAAAAGGGAATGTTTTATCTCAGTGCTTCTTATAATGGCTCTGAGTAGTACAGCCTTAAGTCCAAAATATTTTGTTTTTTGGGTAAATTCCTACTCATTTGTAGCAGGTTCTACCAGACTTTGTATTTCCTCAGGAAATATTAGTTCCTTACAATATATACAGTTTCTAAAACTGTTAACTCGAGGCACCTGGGTGGCTCAGTCAGTTAAGCGTCTGCCTTCAGCTCAGGTCATGATCCCAGGGTCCTGAGATCGAGTCCCATATCAGGGTCCTTGCTCAACGGGGAGCCAGCTTCTCCCTTTGCCTGCCACTCTCCTTTCTTGTGTTCTCTCTCTCTCTCTGACAAATAAATAAAATCTTTAAAAAAAAAAATAAAACTTAACTCATTTGTCTTTTGTAACCTAATCATATCATATGTTTCAGGAAGCAGTGCAGATACTTTTGAAGCATTCTGCAGATGTTAATGCTCGAGACAAAAATTGGCAAACCCCTTTACACATAGCTGCTGCTAATAAAGCTGTAAAGTGCGCTGAAGCTTTGGTACCTCTTCTGAGTAATGTAAACGTGTCTGATCGAGCGGGGAGGACTGCATTACATCATGCAGCTTTTAGTGGACATGGTGAGGTAGGTGGTGTTCATTTAGACAGTGATTCTCTCTCCTTTCATCCTGCCACTCCCCACCCCCAATTATTAGTGAACTTACCCTTTTTAGCCATTCAGTCCATGGGAATAGCAAAAAAAAAATACTTCTTGTTTGTTTTTGTCTAATTCTGCCTTTAGCAAATTCTCAGACTTCATGATAAAATTCATGATATAAATTTCTCAAATTTAGAAGTTTACTTATCAAATACAACCCATGCACTTGAATTTCGTGGTGAACCTGGGGAGACAAAGGAGAACACTGCCAGCTATACACAATGTGAAAAGTATGTTCTGTTGTTGTGGAAAAAATAATCCAGAAAGACAGCATTTATAGTGCTCCCAGAAAGATAGTAGCAAAGTAAGGCAGGGTTTGGAAAAGATTTTCTTATAGTTTATTATCAACATTTAGTCAAAAATTCTTTGGTAACAGACCATCAGAAGAAAAAAAAATTAAGAAAATTAATATTTAGTTATACAACAAGCATCGCCTAATGTTAGATGTTGTCATGGCAAAGAGTGAGATGTATGTGTATATAGAAGGCTTAGGAAAGAAGAAAACACAAGAGTTATAAGAACCTTTGAGGACAACTTGTCCAGTCCATTTTTGTTGCAGACACAGAAACTCAAAGAGGTAAAGTGACATTCCCAAGATTCCATGGCTGAGAGCTAGTGGCTACAGTGTTGTTTTCACTGTTTCTCTGCAACATAAAGAATCCTTGCCTTCGCTGCAGTTAAGGCCCACAGATGTGTCCTTTTTTTGAAACACGGAGTGCCCTTTCCCATGGGGAAACTATTGTAAATATGGTTAGACGGACTAGAAATACTGTTCTTGATACATTATGAGGTAAGCAGACTGTGTGCGGTGACCTTCAGATCTAATCATATTATAGATAGTATATTTGTGTTTGAATTAAATTTAAGACATTTCTGGGATAAGAATGCACTTTGCATTTTAAAAACACCTTGGGCTATTAAAAGAAATAAACCTGTTGTAAAGTATTCCACCTTTAGACCTTCCAGATTTGTACTTCATTGTTCATAAAATATCAGGACACAAAGTAGCATCTTTAAAAGATACTGATACCCACTTCAATAACACCCATTGTGAATCCTTTTTTCATATTTTGTCCTATTATTTATTAAATTATGTTGAAGGGTCTTCAGGGTTTAGTCTCTTTCCTTTCTACAAATGCAGAAATTCAGTGCCAGAGAGATTGAGATGAGTAGTCATCATAAGGGATATTCATGAATAGTTCTACTTCTGAATTTTGATGAAACTTTATTTTTATTACAGATGGTCAAACTACTCTTGTCTAGAGGTGCCAATATTAATGCTTTTGACAAGAAAGATAGACGGGCTATTCATTGGGCAGCATATATGGGTATGTACATTTTAAATTTCATTTTCTGACATTATGTATTCAGGAAAATTTGTACGTTTTAGTTCTTGCATTTGGTATAACATCTGTTTTTTAGGATAGTGGGAAGTTACACCATATCTAAATTTGCCGCCCAAGTGGAACCAGCCTGGTAGTGGGAGAGGTTTACCAGAACAGGAGTGTGTTGGGTCCTCTTCTAAAAGCTGATTGGAAATAATTCTGTTTATCTTTAAAGGAACAGACACCCTAGACACAGGTCTGGGAAACATAATTTAAGTTGGTGTTTACTAAAAGCCCATTCTTACATCCATCCTTGTTTTTATGGGAATATTAAGGTAGAAGTTATGAAGCTGCTTTAAGAATCCTATTATTTTGGGCCACCACTGGGTTGAATAGGCATCATCGTGTTTGATTTCTACAACAGTAACTTCAGAGAAAGAAACTAAGGCTTAGAGTATAGGTTTTTCTGTAGTAACATATATATGTTCTTGAAAAATCTTAGGATTTGCAAAACTGCATTCTAAAACTAACAGAGCTCATGGGAAAACAGTCTTGGGGTAGACCCAAGACCATGCGACTTTGTGACCAGAACACTGACAAAAACATTAATTGGTTCTTGAGTGACTTGGACAGCAGAGAGCAAGCAGGTCTTGAGCTTACCTCAGGATATTTTTAAGTGCACAAAAAGAGCAGAAGAAATACTGGCTTTTGGGTGCTAAGACCATGCATGTAGAACTAAATCTCTAAGCATGGAGGAAGTACAACCTGCCATGAACCTTGCAAGTCCTACAAGGCCAGGGTTGTACGTCTAGAAGACGTGAATATAGACATTCATTTTTCAAGTTTTTTCTCTTCCCTGCCAAAGGTTATAATTCTGCTTCTGCTATTCTGGCTCCTCTGGCTTAAGAAAAATCGCATATGGACTGACCTCTTCTTTGTAATACTGGAGTCATTCCCTGATTTACCACTTATATTGCCTGATTACAAAGACATTTAGCTAGCCACCCTTCTTATAGGCGTTAACTTATCCTCAGTACTCCCTGCTCTTGGTTTTGCCTTTTCCTGTCTCTCATATAAAAATAAAAGATTAAAGGAAAATTTGATGGAAGATTATTAATTTTTAAAACTATGTAAAATTGTGAAACATTGTAGTGGAAGAAAATAAACGCACTCAAACCAGTTATGTAGATAACCCAACAGTCCAGGAAAATTTTTTGCCTATAGTAAAAAAAACAAAAGCAGCAGAATCCATATTGAATTGCAAGTCTGACCTTTAACATGAGTGTAAAGGAATATCAAAAATGAAGGTTCCGGGCGCCTGGGTGGCTCAGTTGGTTAGGCGACTGCCTTCGGCTCAGGTCATGATCCTGGAGTCCCGGGATCGAGTCCCGCATCGGGCTCCCTGCTCAGCAGGGAGTCTGCTTCTCCTTCTGACCTTCTTCCCTCTCATGCTCTCTCTCTACCATTCTCTCTCTCTCTCAATAAATGAATAAAAATCTTTAAAAAAAATCATTTAAAAAAAAAAAATGAAGGTTCCTAAGGTTAACATCCTTATCAGATGTCCCTGTTTTGAAAGCCAAAAGCTGAACATTTGGAGCTTCTTAGATTTCTCTCACATCAAATATTTGTGCCTCTAGTTATATCATGGGCAGTTTTCTTCTGTTACTTGGAGGTAAACATCCAGAAACAAGTCTCCTGTAGCATCCTAAAGTCCCCTCCTCACAACCTATACATTTTTCGTATTTTAAGTCTTGAGGGACTTTTCTGAATATTCTGGTGTACCTTATCCTTCCAGACCATTTAGGAGCAGCTGATCTGCATGATTTAAAACCATATACCTTATATTAAGAGGTTTAAACTTGAAGCAGAATGCATCAGGCCTTTTACCTCCAAAGAATTAAGACTTAACTAAGCAGCTGTTTTCATGAAATTGAAGGCCAGAGGATTTTGTGGATGCCTCTAATTGAGCTCCCAGAATAGCTGGGTGTGTATATATCAGGAGCCCTCCTCAGATGGCTTTGTTTTCCTTGATGCACTAGATGTCGCTTTCAGGCCAGTTGTGGATTAAAAAAGATATTCCATGTTTCTTGGACCTTATTTAATTTTTGAGCATAAACATTGAGGGATTTATAATTCCCTATCTCTTTCAGCATGGAAAAAGAGGAGTATTGACACATAGCTTCTAAAACTGTTCAGCTATTCTAAGCATTCAGGATTAAAGAGAGCTAAACATGTAAAAGTAGGGAGCAATTGACTGGTCTAATAGACAACCCCGAAGTCCAGGTCATAGTCCCTTCTAGATTATATCCAGAGAATCTGTCAATATTAGTGCAAGAGACACTAAAATTACATGTAGTCTTATACTTCCTCACAAACTTCCTTATTTGCCCTGGCCTTCTGTCCCCTGTTTGAAGTTCCCCTTACTTTTCTGTTAGGCTCTACCATTTATCCTTATGCTGTTACTGAATTATCTGTCAGTGGTTCAGAGCGACACCTCTTTCCCCAAAGAGTTGATCATTTCCTCCTCCCTACCCCATGTTTGCTGTGACCATGAACCTCTATTAAGATCCCTTTTACACATTCATCTTTCCTGTCGCTTCAGTACTTTAGCAATATCCAGCCCAGTTCTACCTCCAATCACCTTACTATGATGACTTTGACATAGAAGGTGCTGAATAAATATTAATTACCTTGATTAGCAACTCATATTATTTCTTCTTAAAGCAGTGCATAACTTTAATAAATTTGAAGTGGTATTTTTTTCTCCTTTCCTTTTTGTAAAAACTTACAAATTCTGAACACAGCTCATTTTACTTTTTTTACATGTTAATGAAGAAAAGAAAAATGTAGGGAATTTTCCAAGTAAAATTATGTATGCCATGCATGTCTAATGGATGCCATTTTCTAAAACTACACAAAGATGAATTAAATGAAATCTAGTCGTCTTGGTAGCATCAGTCTATAAATTGACAAGGAAGACACATACTTGTTCTGGCCAGGGTCCACCTAGGTAGAACAATATCATTTATTTCATTCTAGAGCTTTCTTCCCGTTTTTCTTCTAAATAAGTCACCCCAAACTGGCTGTAGAGAAGCCTCTTTTTTCATTTTCAGTGGTCCAGTAAAGGAATTTATCCATATTTCTGAAATGTGCTTAAATAAATATTTGTCAATTTTAAGATTGTAAATTTGCCTATGCATAGCTCCTTTCCAAATAAAGTTTTATTGGTATTAGAAAAAATTCATACTTCCTGGAATCTACTAGTTTATACACACAATATGATCTGTGTCATTTACTTAAGATTGATGTATTGATTTTTTTTTAAGATTTTATTTATTTATTTATTTATTAGAGAGAGAGAGCGAGAGAGAGAGAGAGCACATGAGAGAGGGGAGGGTCAGAGGGAGAAGCAGACTCCCCGCCGAGCAGGGAGCCTAATGCGGGACTCGATCCCAGGACTTCAGGATCATGACCTGAGCCGAAGGCAGTCGCCCAACCAACTGAGCCACCCAGGCGCCCTCAATGATGTATTGATTTTGAACTGTTTTTCCAGTAAGCCTGCTAGTCTTAAGCATCAAAAGAACTTTGTTTCTTTTTGACATATTAGTGAATAATACGCATTGCCCAGTTGAAAAGTTGTATTTATGTATGAGCCTCCTGGGTACTGATTTTCACTGCATTACAATAAATGCAAGTAGCTATCTTTCTGGAGCCATAGATAAGAGAGTAGTGTATAGTGAGGGATCTTTTGTACCAGTTAATACTCTTACATGATAATTATGTTTGATTTGGCAACCTAATGATTTGATAGATATTCCTTTGGTTTTTCCTAAAAATATAGTAGATATTTCTTAATGAGATGGGGAAAAAATAGCTAAAAGTATCCATTTTAATTGGTAATTTACATATAAACAACAAAATCTACTTGATTCTGTGATCTTGTATCCTGGCTTAATTTTTGTCAAGGGAGAGGGGGGCCTGTGTTTGAGAGCCTCATTTTTATAGTTATTAACTTTATATACTCATTCCCTATTCAGTGATATCATGAACAATTCATTTAATGTAACAAATACTTATTGAGTGCCTATTTTGCACAAAGCACTGTTCTCAGCCCTGCGGAATATACGAAAAAGTAGAACATATGAGCATACGATATTTGCCTTTGAAGATATGTATTTGGGAAGTTAATACATAAAAGTAATTTGGGGCAATTAAATAATGATTTGAGTTTAAGAACCATCAGAAGGTATTATATACTTGTTAGATAGTATTTACAGGTATATATGGTGCTTTTGGCTTATAAGACTTACAGGAAAGAGAGATGACTGAGTTGATTGGGGAAAATGCGAACTGATGTGGGCCTTCAAGGATTAGTAGCAATGCTTGCAAAGAGACATCCAAGCGAGACATCCAAGCAAAACATTCCATGCAATGAAGGAATCCCATGAACAAAGGCACAGATGTGGGAAGCATTATGGAAGAAGGAGAAAGCAGAGTATAATCTAATCTGGTAAAGACCAAGGAGATATAAAAGGAGAATAGTGGTTCTCCCACCTTCTGGATGCGTGTTCCCCTTCCTGGCCTCCTTGTATGGTGTGGTTGGGCCTGGGACTAATTCTGACTAGTGAATTGAAAGCCACATCACCTCTGGGCCAGAGCATTTAATTGCTGATTTGAGATTCTACAGTCTATTGCTCCTTCTGGCACAGTGGCCACGTTCAAGACGGTGTCAGCTATATGAGTCTATGTCCTTGAGTGACTTAGCAGACCCCTCTTGCCAAGCTGTCATAGTGTTGATAAGAAATAAAATGCTTGTTAAGACACTGAGATTTAGGAATTGATCGTTAACCACAGCACATATAACCCTATCCTGATTGTTATAAAGGTGAATAGCAAACTAAGTTGGTTAAGGACATTTGGTGGAAATAATAGGGGAAAAGAAGTTTTTAACCACATGTTCTAAAAACCTAACATTTTTAAGAAACAAGCTCCAGTCATTCCCAGATTTTCAAGTAGAAGATTCCACTAAGACAGAGAAACATAAACTAATGTGTTACATTAGATATAAAACGCCAGTTTCAGAACTTGAGAATGTATTAAAACAATCTTGAAAACAGCAAGATCTAGACAAAGGAGGGTTATCTAGACAAAAGGTTGTCACTGTATAAAATAATCAAATATATTGTTTTCAGTTAGTTACCTCTATCAACATTTATTAAAATTACCTGAATTCTTATTTTTTTCTTCCATCCTTTCTCTGGTTATAACTTGATTCATTGGTGACTTATGCATTATTTAGGTAATTTGCATTTTTACCTTTTTTTAAAGATATCCAGGATTATATTTCATATTTTCCTATACTCATCTGTTTTTTCCCCCCTCATAAACACATTTTCAGGTCACATTGAAGTAGTGAAATTACTTGTGGCACATGGAGCTGAAGTGACATGCAAGGATAAGAAGTCTTATACACCTCTTCATGCAGCAGCCTCTAGTGGAATGATCAGCGTAGTCAAGTACCTTCTGGATCTTGGAGTTGATGTAGGTATATAGATATAAATGAAGGAGGCATTTTATATGTTTGTGATTTCATTGCTGGCAGAAGTTATTCTATTTTTTTAAAGATTTATTTATTTATTTATTTATTTGACAGCGAGAGACAGCGAGAGCAGGAACACAAGCAGGGGGAGTGGGAGAGGGAGAAGCAGGCTTCCTGCGGAGCAGGGAGCCCGATGCCGGGCTCAATGCCAGGACCCTGGGATCATGACCTGAGCTGAAGGCAGACGCTTAACGACTGAGCCACCCAGGCGCCCCTTAAAGATGATTTTATATAATAATATTTTTATCTTTTAATTAGATATTTGTAGTCCTTTACATAATATATATCTCACTAATATCTGATCATGTAATTAGTCACAGTATATTAAGAGGTAAAGGATATTTCAAAGATGAATGAATGACACAGGTTTTTCTTCTTCATCACTGTCCAAGCCCTGTAGCTCCATTTTAGCTGATCAGATACACTTGGGTTATTTTTCCTCAGTGGCTACGTTACTGTTAGTCTTATTTGCTCAGTCTAATACTCCCTTTAAATGACTATAACAGTTCACATTACACGATATTGGCAAGAGCTAGGCAGGAAAACCAGAGGCTTCTTGCCCATCAACTGTAAGTGTTCCTTACTGTATAAATTTGTTTGGTTAGGAGGGTTGCTACTTTATATTTGATTCCTGAATTGAGATAGCTAAGAATACCTCACTTTCACAGGCCATCCTTTAAGCACTTGTGCTTTTATGCCCCTCTTCATATATTTACTCTTATTTTAGGTACAGTTCTGACAGACTTGTCTGGTTCTTCAAAACAGATTAAAAAGAGCAAATTAGGAGAGAGGGTTAGGCTCTGCTAGAAGGAGGGCTTTAGATCAGCTGCAAAAACAAACAAAAAGGTAAGTAGTAATCTGGTTGGATAAAGAATGCGAGGCAGAATTGTAGAGCTGAATAGACTCTTAATTTAAGGATTATATGAAGCACTTTGCCTAAAGCAAACAAGTAGTTACTGAAAATATCGGGATTGTGAGATGTTACAAAAATCCAAACATGTTGTTAGGGAGGGTCTTGTAGAGTGCAAGTAGATAGAAGTTTTATTTCTCAGCAGTTCCTCTAGCTCTGTTTCACCAGAGTAGCATAATGCCTTACAGTACCCCTGATCTAGATAAATGAGGCATCTTGTTTCTGACTACTGTTTCACATCCATTTTGGTGAGTTTTTTTAATTTGTCTTATTGACAGTAAAGTAACATTTGTAAATTGTGGTGACAGAGAGTTCTTTGGGATAAATGGTCAGACTCAGAGCCGTTTACTGACATGTGGCCTCCAGTTGCATGATTTATTAGTTTCCCAGGGCTTCCATAACAAATTCCCATAAAGTGAGTGACTTAAAACAACAAATTTAATCTCTCAAAGTTCTGGAGACTCTGAGGGAGAATCTATTCCATGTCTCCTAACTTTTGGTGGTGAAGTGTAGGTACTTTGACTAAAGTTAAGTGTTATCTTTTCACTTTATCCAATTTCTGTTACCAGGGATTTCAGAAAAGAAAATGTTAAAATATAGTTGTGATAAGTTGAGGCCAACTTCAGAGTTAGAGGGCACAGTCTCCAAACAATGCTGCCCTTATTTCTGATCAACTACAAGTTTGGGGCATTCCCCAAAATCACCTTAGGGTTTGATAAGTCACTAGAAGGATTCAAAAAGGGCTCCTGGGTGGCTCAGTTGGTTGGGCGACTGCCTTCGGCTCAGGTCATGGTCCTGGAGTCCCGGGATCGGGTCCCGCGTCGGGCTCCCTGCTCGGCAGGGAGTCTGCTTCTCCCTCTGACCCTCTTCCCTCTCGTGCTCTCTCTCTCTCATTCTCTCTCTCAAATAAATAAATAAAATCTTTAAAAAAAAAAAAAAGAAAGATTCAAAAAATTCACTGAAGGGGCTCTAGGTGGTTCAGTCAGTTAAGTTTCCGATTCTTGATTTGGGCTCAGGTCTTGATCTCAGAGTTGTGAGTTCAAGCCCCACATTGGCCCCATGCTGGGCATGGAGCCTACTTAAAACAAAAACAAAAACAAACTCACTGACAACTATTATACTCATGGTTTATTATACAAAAAAGATACAAATTAAGATCAGCCAAAGGAAGAGACACATAGGGCAGAGTCCAGGAGTATTCTAAACAGAAAGCATTCATTGTTCTCTCCCCATGGAGTTGGGACTCCTTACTCTCCTAGCATCAGCGTGTGACAGTATGCACATAGTATTGCCAAACAGGAAAGCTCATGTGAGCTTTGTTTTCAGAGTTTTTATTGGGGCTCCTTTACATAGGTGTGATTGATTTTTTTATTTATTTTTTTAAATTTTTATTTATTTTTTAAGATTTTATTTGAGAAAGAGAGTGAGCAAGAGAGAGAGCACAGGAGCAGAGGGAGAGGGAGAAGCAGACTCCCCACTGAGCAGGGATGCTGGGCTCTATCCCAGGACCCTAGGATCATGACCTGAGTCGAAGGCAGATGCTTAACTAACTGAACCACCCAGGCACCCCATAGGTGTGATTGATTGATCGATCACTTGCCCACATGGTTGATTTCAGTCTCCAAGTCCACTGATAACTGAGGGCTCCAAAGCCCGCACCCTAAATCACATAGTTGGTTTATGTGGCATTGGCACATCCTACCCCTAGACCATTGGCTATGTCCAGTCCTACTCTAAGATCCATTGTAGCCAGCTTCCACCCGAAACGAGGACACTCCTATCAAGTATGCCATAGATTACCTCCCAGAAGATAAGGGCAAGGGCTAGACATCTCTTTGGGCAAAGGTCACATTCTTTATGTAAAAGTCATGTAAACTTTAAAGTATTCACCCATTTTATTTATTAGAAACAGAATGAAAAGAGAAACTTGCTCAAAAATTATTTCTCAGTATGAAGAGCACATTCATTCGGGTAAAATGTTAACATGTAAGGCTGGAAAATATCTAGAGCCCAACTTTGTTGCAGAAATGAAATAGAAAAAGATGCCACTCATTTTGTTAAAATCCTAACTTTTACTTCATTACCAACTTTAATCTTTTGTCACTGCAAATGTAAAGGCTGAAAATAAGCATTTTATTCAATATATCTCAGAATTTTCAGTTTGTGTTCATTTGTCATGATTCTTAGAGTTAATTCTTATAACTGTACCTTACTTTGAAGACCTTTAAAAATACATTATTTTGTTTTCATTTCCTTAAAATTTCTCTCTTGGAATCATTCAGTTTTGTCATGAAGTAGACATTGCATGTGTAAATTATATTCCCTGAATGTACAAAATCTATTTGACACCAAAATGCTGTTGTTAATGTTATTTTAAAAGAACTTTAGAATTATAAGCCGTATCTATGTATTAGCCCTGTTTCTCACTTTATTAACTTGATTGCAACCACAACATCGCTAAAATAGCTCTCATTCTTGTAGCAAGTAGCAAGACTACTTTAACATTGAGATTTTTTTTCTTCCTATAGATGAATGAACCAAATGCCTATGGAAATACACCTCTTCATGTAGCCTGCTATAATGGACAAGATGTTGTAGTGAATGAACTTATAGACTGTGGTGCTAATGTAAATCAAAAGAATGAAAAAGGATTTACTCCTTTGCACTTTGCTGCTGCATCAACACATGGAGCATTGTGTTTAGAGCTTCTAGTAGGCAATGGGGCTGATGTCAATATGAAGGTATGAAATAAAATCAGAATCTATACTGTAGTATTTAGGAGTTTGCTGTTTAAAACAGTATCAGTAACAAATACCATTCAGCAATAAAAAGGAACAAATTACTGATAGACACAAGAACACAGGTGAATCTTTAAAAAGTCTTACACAAGAATATACATATTATTCCCATTTATAGATGGTTTTAGAACAGATGAAATTCCATTTATATGGGGTTCCAGATTCTATAGTTGGAAAAAAAAAACAGTTGCCTCTGTGAGGAGGGATTGATGAAAAAGGGATGTAGCAGAACTTGCTGGGGTGATGGTAATATTCTATATTTTGACAGGCTTTGTGTTATATAAATAAGCATTTGTCAAAACTCATGAAGTGGTACATTTAAGATTTGTACACTTCATTGCATGTATATTTTCCCTTAGGAGGTAACAAACAAAAGTGATGTTGAACGCTCGTTTATGATAAGCATACCAAAGTGTTTAGAGATAATATGTAGTCATATCTTCAACTTTTGAAAAACATCAAATAATTGGGTGGATGGCTGGATGGAGAGATTGATATATGATGATGTGCGTATAGTAAAATGTTAGTGATAGAATCCAGGTGGTTTGTATATGGGTGTTCATGGTAATCCTTTTAACTTTTCTGTTTTGAAGTTTTTTTTAATTTTAGAAAAATTGAAGGACCACTATCAATGTGTTACATATAAAGAATAGTTTTTTGTTGTTTTTTGGTTACATTCACATTCAGGAATGAGCATTTGAATTTTAGAAATACGTGAAAATTCTGGAACCAAAATAAATGTTCTTTCACTGTATAATTCTGTGAAAAAGCACATGCAGCCACACTTTTGAACAACACTACTTTATAATGTGTAATCATCATTTTGATTTTTCTAAGATGCTTTCACTAATTGTTTCTGTATTAATTCGTCAATTCATTCTTTGAGTATTTGCCAGTCTATATCTTGTGTTATAAAGAAAACCACAAATAAAATTGAACTGTTCAGTAAAAACATTTAACCTTAAAATGTGTTTTTCAGAGCTTTAATTACTTAAGCTTTCAGCTTCTTTTGTGGGTATCATGAGCCAGTCTTCAGATTGGTAAAGAAAGGGAGTCCATTTTCTTGTATTTCTTAACTTTAGAGAGACTTTTAGTGATGTTGCTGACCCTGATAGCTGTAGTAGCAGCAAGTCCATCTATAATTAGTCATTGCTCTAAATTGCCCTCTCTCAGCTACAGGAAGAATTTATAGTTATCATACTCAAGGAAGGAAAGGGCATGAAGTATCATAAAGAACTCCTATTATATGATTATGTTTAAAATGCCTTTTCTAAGAATATACATTTAAAGCTTCCAGTTCTCAGTCAAATCACCTACTGAAGTTTTTTTTAATAGTTTAAATAATTACTAAAAATTTATTGATAATAAATTTGGACTCCTCAGTTTGATTTGAAGAATTCCTGCTCTTTGGATAATCGGGGAATACAACAATATTTAAACTCTTGTGAAGAAAAGAAATTTGTTACTTGTTTCCTTAAAGGCCTACTGATATTTTTTAATGAAGATTAGATCTTAACATTTCTCAAAAGATCATAACCAAATTTTTTTTAGTCTCTATGAGAACTGTTTATGATCAAGGGACTGTAGTTACATCATTGTTGTGTGTTAATAAATATTAAGTATCATGGCTTACCTATAACATTAGCTGTGACACATGTTTTAGTTTCTATAGTGCTGTCTTGGGTAATAATTAGGCTTTTTATTTATTTTATACAGTGCCATTTAGACATGAATATTTAATATAATTTGTTGATAGATTGTTTGATTCATATGTGAGTGCCTACATAGCTGACTCCAGTGGCTAAGTAGATTTGAAGGGAACAAGCCAATGATGTTGGTTTAGAAATAGATTTCCTAAAAAGTTGCCTTAGTCTTGCCTGGGGATATATGACATCCCATTTATATGCGATTGTCCAATTATCTTATAGCCAAGTTCCTTTGGAACACAGTTCCCATGATGTTAATGACTTCTAAGGTACATTCCAGCTCTGAAATTATATAAAAATTATTAATAACTGTGTTTTCAACAAGTAAGAATATATATTCACTCAAGAATCTTCATTCCTGACACCTGTGTATCCTATATTTATCAAATCAGTGCCCATCAAATTGTTGCTTGATTAAAGAGCTAATAAGGCTTTGACACTTGCCTTATAAAAAAAATTATACTTGTAACCCTCATGTTCTCCTTATCAAGTCATCTCTTTCTCCCTGCTTCATCTTTTTCTTCTATGTCATTTTCCATTTTGGTGTTTCTGTCCCTGATCAAGTTGTGGATGACTAGAAATTGGAATGTGAATTTAGGCTTGAAATTACTCATTTATTTATATGTTTTTAAATTGGCTGTCTTACAAAGTACTACAGAGATAAAGTGAATGAAGTTTAAAAAGCAATAGGTCTGGTTTTTATAACCTTGCTTATTAACATGAGCCCTACTGCATTGATTGTATCACTTAAATGCACATCTTTTCCCACTTCACCTTATTCTTAATAAATTTTGGTCAGATAAAATACCCCAAATAATTTGATTTAAAGTTTAAACATAAAAAGTAATGCTTACTTGTTGTTGCTATTTATGGTCACCTGTGAACACAGCTCTTAGAATTTTGGTGGATCTTAATTTTTGCTTGAAACTCCAAATTTGATCCAAAATTAATTAAGGTGACTTAAAAAAAAAAATCTACCCATTGTCTCCCCAGTGCAGAGAGAAGTAAATGTGCTCTTCCCCCTTCTAACATGTCTTAAGGTGGACTTTTCAGTTGGTAATCTGAATCTTTTGGGGGTGTTTGTTTGTTTCTTTTAGTATATTTGGAATACTTTTTATGATCAGTAAGTATGTAGAAAGTAAAAATATCAATCCAGTGCCACCTGTAGGACTCCACTTACTAGCTTTGAGACCTGGTTACATTTCTTAACCCCTTGGCCTATAAGATAGGGTCAATAGCATATATGTCATAGGGTTTTGAAAAGCAAATGACTAATATATATGAAATGTTTTAAAACTGCTTGGAACATAGTGCTTACTATGTATATAAATGTTAGCTATAATTATATTTCACATTTCATCATTTTATGAACTCAAATTTATATTACAGTTTAGTTTTTATTTTTACTTTTTTTTGTCTGTAAGGTAAAAGATTAACGTTAAAGAATCAAGATATGTTAGGGAACATTTTGAAAAAACATTACAAACTGGAATCCCTTTATTAAAATGCTTTTGTGCTTTTTTTTTTTCTGGTTGAAAAAATAACTGCCACATAGATAAAAACACCAAATACAGTAAGAGACTATAATAGACTATAACAGACACTGGTATATCATATGGGTGTTTTACAAAGATTAGTATATTTATTCTGTACAGCAGGACTGTGAGGCACAGGTAATATCATATCCATTGAGTGAAGGCTCAAGAAGATAGACAGCTTCTCCTAATTCTTTCTGTGGTAACTGGCAGAACCAGGATTCAGCTCAGGTCATTCTGACTCCAGAGCCTACCTTGTTTGTTCGCTTGGGTTTGTTTGTTTTGGTTTGCTTTGGTTTGTTTTCCCTCCTGTGTACACACTGCTTCTAAAGGCTTAAAAATTCTGAGATAAATTGCCAATTGGATAGTTTGCTTGAAAAAATTAATATAAAATTATGGAATCAAATACATTGCTAGGTAATTATGAAGTTCATCTAACACTCCACTATTATGACATGAGATTTTTTTTTTTTAAAGATTTATTTGACAAAGACAGCGAGAGAGGGAACACAAGCAGGGGGAGTGGGAGAGGGAGAAGCAGGCTCCCCGCGGAGCAGGGAGCCCGATGTGGGGCTCGATCCCAGGACCCTGGGATCATGACCTGAGCCGAAAGCAGAAGCTTAATGACTGAGCTACCCAGGCGCCCCGACATGAGAATTTCTTAAGGAGATCTGCATTATACAGTTTTAGTATAAACTTAGGACACTTGTCACATTTCAGTTTTAAGTATATGTACACAGAAGATATTCTGAATATTGCTGAGGGATTAGGAATTGCAAAATAGACTCTTTCCTTTATAATGGTCACATTGTATGTTTTGACAAAGTCCTTTAGAATTTCAGAGTTTATACATTAAATATACACATGCCCAGCCAGTATAATTATTTATTTTAATTTGAGGAAAAAGCTAACAATATTCATTATAAATAATTATAAACAAATTAAAATATGAAGTTTTTAAAGTGAATTATAGTGGTTGAAGTTAATGCTAACATTCACTTTTTCTTGGTTGATGAGGGATTCAGTGTTTCTTAGAATGAAAGAATTGTAGCAATGTGAAATTTTTGAAAGGTGGGAAACACCTCCCAGTTGTACCACTACTGACTATGTGACCTTGGTTAAATCATTAATATCCTTGTGCTTCAGTTTTCCCGCCTTTGTAATAGGAATGATACTAAGATTACACTGTATACCTACCGTGCAGAGCTTTTTGTAAAATATAGGCATTGAGGGGTTGTTTTTTTTTTTTTTTTGTATATTTGTGCTTTATAATATCCGTACTTTAAAAAAAAAAGTTCCTAATTTTGAAAGCTGTTTTACCTACATAGGATTGAGCTAAACTTAATGCTTGAATAGTAGTTTTACAAGGTGAAGATTCAGAATAAAACTAAGGGTTACATATGACAGATATAACAATAATTTTAAATCTCTCTTATTTGATTATTTCAGAGCAAGGATGGGAAAACCCCACTGCACATGACTGCCCTCCACGGTAGATTCTCCAGATCACAAACCATTATCCAGAGTGGTAAAAAGTATTTCTGTTTGTTTTTTTTCTTAAATGTAATAAAAACATCCACAAAATGAATGGTATTGAGGAATTGCTATAGCTGTCTATATATTTTTAATATTTGATTTCAGATCTTACAAAAATCAAATAATAAAGAGTACAAAATGCCATGTATATGTATCTTTTACAGTTTGTTTTTCATTTATTTTTGTTTTATTTCACCTGAATTATAAGTACAATTTCTCTAGCAGTTGGTGTGGGCTTTCTTTAAGCATTGCTAAATAGAAAACTTGGCCTTTCCACCACAGTTGGTATTTGTATTATACATCAACAAAACTCTGTTGCATTTATCTTTTTTCCCCTTTTGGATATTTTGAACTATTTTTAGGACTTTCATTTATTTTCGGAACCTGTATTCTTTTGCATTTGAATTAGTACTAGGCAAGCTAAACCTTTAAATACTCTTAGGTACGTTACTTTAGTGTTTCCCAAGCCATATTCCAGGGAACTGTTTGTTAGTAGTCCTCAAGATAATAGTTGTTATGGTTTTGCAAGGAAAAAGTAGTAGTTTCGTGATCAAATAATTCCTGAAGCATTGCATGCAATCTTGATGACACATGGTGTGTGTGCATTAAAACTCTGAAATCTTGCTCTAAAGAAATATGTTTAATTTTGTTTTAATATAGTGGTTTCCAAACTTATTAGACCCCAGAATCCTTTCATCATTTTAAAATCTGTTAAAAGCTTATGCTTAGTTCACAAAATTGTTTTTAAGTGTAAAATCTGTAACCTCAGTGCCTGGCCCATTAAATGTCCTGTGAGTGAAACCTAGTTAAATCACTATATCCATTAGTTTATGCTTGAATAGTGTTTTATGGTACTTTCCATGTCATAAATTTGACTTGATCATAATATAGTCCAGTATCTGATAGTACATTATTTATTGCAGGAGCTGTAATCGACTGTGAGGATAAGAATGGAAACACCCCTTTGCACATAGCAGCAAGGTACGGCCATGAGCTGCTAATCAACACTCTTATTACAAGTGGTGCTGACACTGCAAAGTAAGTACTTACCACAGTGTTGAGAGCTGTGCCGACAGGGAAACACAGATGGAAGTGAATTGCAGTTTTCTAGAGATTTCAAGTAGGAGTATAGATTTTGTGCCCACTGTGGTACTAATTGCTTGAGCTTTTTCCTATTTGTGTGGATGATGTGCTAGAATAGATATTTAATGTGATTTCATTTGGTAAGCCAGCATAGTATATTCTTGTATTTTTTTTAACCCCAGTGAATTCTAGATTATGAATAATACACAGTTTTAATCAGAGCTTTACATTGTTGTGATCTATTTATTAAAAGTAAATAAAAGACCCAAAAATGTTTATATACTGAATGCTTTTCTTTTTCATTCAAATACTATCTGTAGATTTTTTGCCTCCTGCTTTGGTCGTTTTAAAACAGCTCACTTTGTCTATTTTATGCATTAAACTTTCTCTGTCAAGATTTTGTTTGAAAGATGGATTCTCTTGTGTGCTCTGCAGAAGTAAACATCCTACTTAATTTGATGGTTATCATTCCTATGTGTGTCTATTTTTATTACATTTATTACATTTATTAGATATATTCATTAACATGTTTTAAACCTTTTAAACTTTCTGTAAATGTGATGCTACTGTACACTTTTTTGCAACCTCTTTGATTTAGCCATGTAGATATAGATTTGGACTTTTTTTCACATCTCTACAAATACCTGTAGTTCATTCATTTTATAAAATTTAATGATTGTATAAAGATTTCATAGTTTATTCATTCTACTTATTTGCAAACATAAGTTGCTTCCAATTTTACAAAATTTCCTGCAGTGAGCATTCTTGAACATTTTGTGTTGTGGTAATGATTCTCACTGGCAAGGCGGGGGGGAATGGATTTCACACCCTAGGCAAATGTCCAGAGACATTTTTGGTTGTCATGCTTTGGGAGGAGGGTGTTACTGGCATCTGGTTTGGATAGAGCCCAAGGGCACTGCTGAACATCCTGCATGCACAGGAAGGCCACCCTGCCCCCAGTAGAGTCCATCATGACAGTAGTGCCAAGGTTGAAAAATTCTCCTGGAGGAAAACTGCTGGATAAATAATAAGCTATGGTCACCTTCAGCCTTTTGCCAAATTGCTCTCCAAAATGTTAAAGGTTTTGACTCATCTAATTATCTTTCCACTTTAACTAGTTTCTTTGTAATTTATTCAAATGATTGTATTATTCTTGATTGTAATGCGGTTACTGTCCTGCTTATACTTCAGGCGTGGCATACATGGAATGTTCCCCCTCCATTTGGCAGCCTTAAGTGGTTTTTCAGATTGCTGCAGGAAACTTCTTTCTTCTGGTAAGTGGAACCATTGTAGACTGAGTCTTCTTTTTTTGTTTCCCCAAAGCCCCCCACATTTTAATACAGTCTCTTTATCCTGCTTTTCCAAAATCACTTGTAGATATGTCCAAGTGTGAATCATTTATTAAGTCCTCTTAGAAGATATTGGGTCTTTTTTAATTTTAAGATGCAGTTTTGGGGCACCCAGGTGGCTCAGTTGTTAAGGCTCAGGTCATGATCCCAGGGTCCTGGAATGGAGCCCCACATTGGGCTTCCTGCTCAGTGGGAGCCTGCTTCTCCCTCTCCCCCTGCTTGTGTTCCCTCTCTCGCTGTATCTCTTTCTGTCAAATAAATAAATAAAATCTTTTTTTTGTTTAAAGCAGTTTTATCTTCAGATCTGGGAAAGATTTTATTTTTCCAGGATTTCCTTCCTTATTATCTACTTTGAATAATTTTGTGCCTATTTGTAATTCAGTTTTGTTTGAGATTGGGGGGCATGTGATACTTGACATTTCTTGACATAGTACTTTAATATGAAGTAACTTACCTATGATACTATATAAGATGTATTCATTCTTACAGGATTTGATATAGATACCCCAGATGATTTTGGCAGGACCTGTCTACACGCAGCTGCAGCTGGAGGGTATGTTAACAAAATTTTTACTTTTTTAAGAAGAAGGTAGCTGGTCATGTCAGTTTTTCTCTTATTTTAGTTTCTCTTTATTAGTTCTGGGCTGCCTCAAAATAGAAAACAAACCATAATAGGAGTGGTTTGGGAGAAGAAAGTCCAGAGTAGTAGAAATTGCTTTTTCTAAATCCTCTTCCACCTAAGTCATAAATTATGAGTGGGAGGAGAGATGGAACAAAACTGTAAAAGGAAGCGTTGTGGGGGAGGTGGAGCAAAACTGTAAAAGGAAGTATTGCTTTTTATGAGAGAAAATTACTTCTGGGTAAATGAAAGGAATATATGTCCTCAAATGAGAGTAACAAAACATTAGGGATGTTCTGAGTAATACTAATGTTCTTTGAGAAGGTGTTTAGGGTTTTTTAATCATAATTTTAGGGGAAAAAAAGGTCAGTGGCTTGTTTATGTCTTGCGTCTACTCAGGACCAATATCTAGGAAAAAGAAAATTTTGGAGATTGAAAAATTTTGGACGGTTTTAAATACTGCTGCTAGGGTAGGCTCTTGGTTTGAATAAACAACAACCTTCAGTTAAAACTCGTGGTCTCTGAAGCATGCTGCTAATCTAATGTTTCTGATCAATTAGATCCTAAATCTAAAATAAGCCATTTAATTCATGGTGACTTATCAAAAACATCATTTGCAAGAATTTTATTACTAATAATCATTCTTTAAAAATTCCCAGTGGTTTCAGAGGACAAATATATTGAATCAAGACTCCCACTAGGCCAGTCTCAGATGCAAAGATGGATTGTGAACATATGACTGGGTCCTCTTGTTCTTCCAAGGTCACCAAAGAACCTTCCAGTTAAAACCTAGCTTCCATATTACTGGCCTCCAGAGGGAGGGACAAAAGACAGCACAACTATCTGATCACGTGGCAGTCACAGTTTCTAGTGTAACATGGTAATAATGTTCAGGTTTTTGAAAATTAAACTACAGAAAGACCCATGCATGTACCGTACTCTCCTATCATTTTAACTAAGGATACATCTAAGCAATTATAGTGTAGAAGATAAGGGAAGGCAAATTGGAACATTTTCAGGTTTGATTTTTTTTAACCCATTTTCTTTTAATTTAGTATTAAAAATCATTTAAATTTAAACATTCTGTTAAAAGTCTGTTGTTTGAGGTTTGTTTTAAAGGTTCCTAAAAACTCTTAGGAAGTCTTTTTTTTTTTTTAAGATTTTATTTATTTGAGATAGAGCGTGAGCATTAAGGGGGCCAGAGGGCAGGAAGGGGGAGGGAGAAGCAGACTCCCCACTGAGCCCGGAGCCCAAGGACTCGGGCTGGATCCCAGGACCCATGAGATCATGACCTGAGCCTAAGGCAGCCACTTAACCGACTCTCAGGAACTCTTTTACAAATGTGAACTTTCTTTTAAATAGTGACAACATGACTCATTTGTTATTTCCTAGCAACATGCCAATATGTATATACATAAATTCTTAAAATATATGATGAATTTTAATGTTTTGTTTTTTATAAAACATAAATCATGTCATTTTATTCACTTTGTCTTCATTTGAAAACATGCTTTGATACTTATTTAAACTACCAATTTTGTTTAAGAAATTATTGACAGTTAAGTCTAACTGTATTTTCCCTGAATAGGAATTTGGAGTGCCTAAACCTTCTGCTGAATACTGGTGCAGACTTCAACAAAAAGGACAAATTTGGGAGGTAGGCTGTGATGCCATTCCTCTATAGAACCTAATTAATGTTATTTACTTAATGACTTGCATGACGTTCTAAGTGGCTTCTGAGAATTAACAGTTCAGCATCTTTTGCATTGTGATCATGATTCACTGAGAGGCCTAAATAAGTCAGTAACTTCTAAATATTCATTTTTACCCACAGTTTTCTTCCACTTGGGCCCCTGCCACAGCCCCAGGCTGCCAGCCACAGCTTTACCTTAAAAGCACCTCTGTATCTCTTGATATCATTCTTCCTCCTCCCATAATTATACCATGGAAATGTAGAACCCCGTGGTGCCTCTGTTCCTTCAAGAAGAAACTCACAAGACCTAGAACTCAGCAGTACAGGTCTCCTTGCCCCCAAGTCATTTCATTGTCAGAGATTCTACTGCCCAAATTTGGTTACAGAGCACGAGAAATAGGAAGGAAATAGGTAACGAATATATATGAAATTTTTGTTCTCCCCTCCTATAACTCCCCACATATACATAAGCACATAACAACACATCCACATACACCCCTTAGTATGACTGGTAGGAAAATACCTGTGAAGTGACAGAATCCCTTTGTAGTCTTTTAGCCAATCCTCATTCTCACTGTGACTAGCATTTATGGTAGCAGTACTTAAAGCCACCAGTATCTACTAAGTTACTTAGAGTAGGAATTGACCCAGCATGTGCTAAAACCATACAGGAAAGGATTGAAGGCAGTTTGAATTGGTTTACTATGGACTCTGAGAAATAAACTGAGGGTCTAGAGGGGAGGGGGGTGGGGGGATGGGTTAGCCTGGTGACGGGTATTAAAGAGGGCACGTTCTACATGGAGCATTGGGTGTTATACGCAAACAATGAATCATGGAACACTGCATCAAAAACTAATGATGTGTAATGTATGGTGATTAACATAATAAAAAAATTTAAAAAAATAGAGGTGGCAATGTGAGCAAAATTGTGGGTCACGAGTTTGAGAATTACATCAAAGTGTATGACAAGAAAGAGTGTGTGTGTCAGAAGGAAATGTGTGGATGTATGTTCAGTGCATGTGATGGGGTCACTGCAGAAGTAAACAGAATTATGTATAGTAGGGAATCAGAAATGCATATAAGAAAAAAAACTATTTGACCTCGTAATTACTTTGAGGAATAGACTGCTCTCATAAGCCCACTAATAAAAGGAACTAATGACCTACAAAATCAAAAGTCACTTTGTTTGGCTTTGCAATGCAATATTTTTATAGTTAATTGAATTTTATAATTGTACTTTAATCCATCTTATATTAGTTAATTTGTAGCACATGAAGCATTTTTTACTACAAATAGCAGAGAGGGCTTCTGAAGCGTATTCTGAGTTTAGAAGCTTGAAAGTAATTCAGGGTTAATTGTATTTCTTAAAATGCTATTACTATACTATACTGTTATCCAATAAAGTAAAATAATGTTTTACTATCGTTTCACTAGGTAAATGTTTTAGAAAAAGTTATACCATGAAGACCCTAGGCTGAATTTACCTTCACTTTTCTGTTTTCTTCTCCTTCTCCATTTTTTTTTTAATGAAAAGTCATGGAATTGTTACAGAGTTGCAATTCAAAGACAGGGACTCCTAATTTTAGTAACATTCTGTTGTAATTCAATAACTGGAAAGAAACCGGCTGTAAATATTCAGTCTTTAGAAATTAAAAACAGTACTCTTAACTCTTCTGAAGAGTGAACAATCTTCAAAACTATGCAATTTTTGCTTGAGAAACCTGATACCACTATGCAGCTTTACTGTATGGTTGGTAGAATAGCGCATTCTATTTAATGCTTCTATATTTCTCTTAGCCTTTATTCCTCCTGAGACATGAATAGAAGCTTCTACCTCGGTACTATGAAACATTTTTATTAGTATAAAGGAAGCTTTGTTAAAATGGAAGTTTTACAAAGTTTCTGAGCAGAATAGGAAGGTGTCTATAATTCACTCAGAAGACTAGAATTGTCACTGTGGGGGGACCGTGAAATAATTTAACTGTTTCTATCATAATTTCCTATTCTTAGAAGTTCTTTCCCACCTTACTTTCTCGTACTAGCTTTCTGTCCAGCCCTGCAGAAGACTTAGTATATGGTAGAAATCAATCTCAGGCTCATTGTAAATACAGTATTTGTAATTGGGTCAAGTAAGAGTCAGCTCTGCTCTTGTTTACTGGTATATGTCCCTGGCTTTTATTTTTCTTATATTAACTTGGGCACCAAAGATCTCCGCTGCACTATGCTGCTGCCAACTGCAATTACCAGTGCCTGTTTGCTCTTGTGGGATCAGGAGCAAGTGTGAATGACCTTGATGAAAGAGGATGCACACCCCTGCACTATGCAGCAACATCAGACACAGATGGCAAGTAAGTATCATGTGGTGAGAATGAAGGATTATTTCTATAAACCAACATTTGCCATGTTTTTATTGCAAATTTATGTTTTCTTTTTATACTTTGTGGTATTTTCTTGAGTCTCTAGTGTGGGAAATAAATTGGTTTCATAATTATTCCTAAATCATAGCTTACTACCTATTTCTGCTCAGCAACCTGCCTTATTGACTGATATGGTAGAAGAAAGATAAAGACCTCTTCTTGTCCTCCCTGCCAAAAGCACATCTTAATATCACTTTCATGTTTTTTCCCTCTGACTTCTCAGAGGCAGCAGTCTTGAGTTTATCATAGGGAAAGGGACAGAGAAGAGACGGGGACAGTGCCAAAGGAGATGGGGCAGAGATTGGAACACCAGTATCCGTCAGAGGTAGAGAGTTTATATTTGTAAGAGATCCTTATAAATTGGTACCCAAAAAGGGAATAACCAAACTGGCAGAATCTGGCACTTGTTGGTTCTAAATATTGCTTAAATAAGTAAATGAGATAATGGAATAATATTGGCTAAGAATGCCTGAATAACAAAAGAATAAGAGATGTGTAAATTATTTTTATAATTAATATTCACCTAAAGTTGATCAGAACCATTTATAGTACCTTAATATATATAAAAATAAATTCATTGGAGACAGATCTTCAGTCTGTGGTATTCACCATGTCTGAGTCAGTTAAGAGCAAAAATACCCTTAGGGAAAAACAAAGAGTGGTTTGTAGGGGAGGATTTTATAAAAAATACTTCAAGGAAGTTTTAATTAACATAGAACTATTTCTTTGGTTTTTAATATTTGCTTTTTACCCTCAAAAAGCATAACTTGATATATATATATATATATAATGTTAATTATAAATTCTGTAACTAATATCAAAGCCATTTCTATCAGTAGCACTTTGTTATGTTGGATTCGTAGCTAAAACTCTAATCTCAGAAGCACTAGTAAAGTCTACTTTTTGTTTACTAGAATAGATCACTTTGTACAATTTCATATATACCCAGAATAGTTAGGTATAGATAGATTTTGGGAGAAGTGAAGTTATTTGAAGTATGTTTTTATAGATAGTAGCTCTTTAAGGAAAATCCGTGGTAAAGACTTTGTAAATAAGAAAATATTTTGGTGGGGTGCTTGGGTGGCTCAGTTGATTAAGCATCTGCCTTCGGCTCAGGTCATGATCCCAGGACCCTGGGATCAAGCCCCACATCACAGTGGGCTCCCTGCACAGCAGAGAGCCTGCTTTTCCCTCTGCCTGCCTCTCCTCCTGTTTGTGCACTCTCTCTCTAGGTGTCAAATAAATAAGTAAAATCTTACTTTAAAAAATGTTGGTAAACTTGGGTAAGTAGATCATCCTCTGGTGTATAAATTTTGTAACTTCAGGATTTGATTTATAGATTTTCTTAATACCTAAAATGAGCATATCACCACCAATAATCCTTTACCACTATTCCCACACACTAGTTATTAGGTGTCACTCAACAGGATCTACATAAATTCCACTGAGAGGTCACACACATAAACACACACACATGCTCGTAGAGATTACCCAAGTTCCTCCTGCCCTTAGACAATTACATTAAATCTGAATTCTTATGTAAAAATCAAGAGAATAATGATGTTCGACCCATACTGTTTGGGATTTGTGATTTTGTTTTAAACCCACCTACTTTTTTTGTAGAAGTGTATTAGTAATGAAGTGATATAAATCAGTTCTCTCACCTAATATAAACTGTTTTGAGTAATAGGCTAGTGATATTTATTACTTAAACATTTAATTCTAGGTATCTACACAAAGCAGCCTGATGGACTAGAAAGAACATGAGCTTTGGGATCCAAAAGACCCAGTTTAAATTTTGGGGTTTCTATATTATACCCCTTTGAGCCTGAGCAGGTGATTGCCAAGCAAAATCTTTATCTGTAAAATTAGAAAAAAGTGTACTTAGAATTGTGGGAAAAACTGAGATTATGTGTGTTAAACAATCTAGCACTTTTTTTTTCTTTAAGATTTACTTTAGAGAAAGAATGAGGGGAGGGGCAAATGGAGAGAATCTTCAAGCAGACTCCCCGCTGAACACGGAGTCCAACACAGGGCTGGATCTCATGATGAGATCATGACCTGAGCTGAAACCAGGAGTCGGATGCCTAACTGACCAGCCACCCAGGTGCCCCTCTAGCACTGTTTCTTAGAGCCTCTATTTCTTTAAAGTATCAGAATCCCAGAGGTCCTATCTAATGCCATCATTTATTGTCTCAGTGATTTGTTCCTGAGAACTTTCTGGAAGCTATAAGCTACGGTAACCATTTTAGGATACCAGAGGCATCCTTTCAATAAATGATTGTTTTGGAGGCTTAAGTAGTAGCATTATAACACTGATAAAACGTTTGGGCACCTGGGTGTCTCAGTTGGTTAAGCATCTGACTCTCGATTTCGGCTGTGGTCATGATCTCAGGGTTGTGAGATCAAGCCCTGTGTGGAGCTTCATGCTGGGCATGGAGCCCACTTAAGATTCTCCTGTCCCTCTTTCCCTCCCCATCCCCAGAAAAAACAAAAAAATGTTGATTTATTTTTCTAAGTTACACTGATTTAATTCCCAGGTATAAAAGTTAGATAATAAAAGAATCTGGCATGATACTTCTGGCAAAGGAAGTGTGAAATATTTTCTAAAGAAAGACACAAAATCCCCATAACTTCAAGTTACTCTTATTCAGTAATGTGTATTTGTGGTTTGTTTTTTTAATGATCATTTACTAATCCCCTGTCAGCATCCCCAGGGAAAGTTGTTTATATTTTGGAATTTTTGACACTCTGACATTGGTTTTTCTGCTATTCCAGAGTGACATATAAGTAATTACAACTCTCTCTTCTGCCTTGCGTCCCTTGGTCTTCACTTTGAGTAAATGTTGGAAAAATACATGAAATCTTTCCTGACTCATTCTACTTATTCTTCTAGTGACTCCCATTATTCTAGTGCCTGCATTCTTTTTTTTTTTTAATGAATTTATTTATTTTAGAGAGCACGAGTGGGAGGGGCAGAGGAAGAGAGAATCTCAAGCAGACTCTGTGCTGAGTACGAAGCCTACTGTGGGGCTCCATCTCATGACCATGGATCACGACCTGAGCCAAAACCAAGAGTCGGATGCTTAACTAACTGCACCACTCAGGCACCCTGGTGCCTGCATTCTTCATAAACAGTCATGACTCAGATACATAGTCACAAGAAACATGTTTAATGTGTTAAATATTAATAAATAAAATTTTCTTTGCCAGTTCAAAAGAAATAGGGCTGGCTTTGAGCAAGATGGTTAAGGATCTCCCCTATACCCATGTGTGCGTATAAGAGAAGAATGGGGTGGTTTTTTTTTTGATTATACATAAAGAAGAAATCCTTCGCATGCCTATTCTCCTAAGATAACCACCATTAACGTGACTATTTCTGTATGTGTATGTAGATCATTTCATGTCATAGTCTAATCAATTAGTCTAATCAAAGTTAAAGACTTGGTATGTGCTTTACCATTGCCTTTTCTATGTTCATATAATTGTATATATAGATATATTTCACCAAGATCCTCTTTTATGGTGATAATTGGCATTTTTCACAAAAATGGGATTATGTTTTGACTTCTAATAGCATTGTATACTTTTGTTTGTTTTGAACTTGATATAAATGGAATCATACAGGGTTTTTTTGTTTTTTTAAAAATGTATTTTCTTTCTTTTTAAAGATTTTACTTATTTATTTGTCAGAGAGAGAACACGAGCATAAGCAGGGGGAGCGGCAGGCAGAGGGAGAAGCAGGCTCCCTGCTCAGCAAGGAGCCCGACGTGGGGCTCAGTCCCAGGACCCTGGGATCATGACCTGAGCCAAAGGCAGACACTTAACCGACTGAGCCACCCAGGAGTCCCCATACAGTTTTTTGTTTAGAAGTTTTATAATCCTTAGATTTATTCCTAAGTACTAAATATTTTTATTGCCAAAATAAACCTATCTTTAAATTTCCTTTTGTTGTGATATAGAGAAATACATTTGACTTTTGTATATGACTTTATAATATTCAGCAGCCTTTTATAACTCATTTTGAATATGTATATAAGATAACATTGGATTTGATAGTGGCTCTGCCCCTTGTTGTGAGACTTTGGGCAAGTTACTTTACATCTCTGTGCCCCTTTTGTCTGTGAAATGGGGAAAATAGTCTGACCTAACTCATATAGCCAAATGAGGTATAGGATATCTGAACTGTTTAGAATAGTACCTATAATCTTCCCTTACCTATAAGGATTAGCTGTATTTTTTGTGTGTGTGTAAGAACAGACACTATTATACACCATAATGGGAGAGAGTAAAGGAAAGAGGGCCTCTGGTAGCAATACTACATTCCCTGCCCTGGGCTGAGTGGTCCTTACCCAGAATTCTGACCGGCCATGGGACTCATGGGTGGTAGGGGAAGAGTAGGTAAAATTTAAATTGTTTGAAATGCACTCTGACTTAAATTATGTTCTTAATTGGAATGATACTTAATTTGTCTAACATAAAATTTTAGTATATGTGCTGCCGAAGCGAGCACTTGTCTAACACAAAATAAACAGTATGTGACAGTAAGTATAGTTTATGAGTTAGCTATTTAGCCATGAATATTCCTCCAGATTTTGCATAGGAGGGAGATTAAAGAGAATATTGATTGATACTCGATTTTCTGACTTTTATAAAAATCAGTGTGTGTTAACTTTTAATCAGAAAAGAAGAATAGATTCTCTCCCCGCCACCTTATTTGCAAATTAGATGTGAGGTCCAGATATTCAAGATCAAGTAATTTTGTGGTTTAGTATTTTATAAGCACCCAGGTTAAAGTGTCACTCTAACTTATTAACCCCTGTGCTGAAGTATTTGGTAGCATGAAAAGAACACTGGATGAAGAGAAGACCTAAGATCTAGTCCTTGCTTTACTATATGCTAGCCAGTTTCTCTTTAGATCACATAAATCTTTTGCCTTTTACAAAAGATTTTGAATAGGTGTTTTGGTTTTCCTGAGTGTCAGTAATTTTTTCCATTTGTGAAAGATAATGCTTTATCTCACAAAGTAGTTATGAAAGTTGATACCGCTTAGCAAAATCTGAAAGGCAGGCCAATAGAAGGAATTTTATCATTTCAAAGTAACTCTTAGTCTTTGTTTTGTTACAGGAAACCAATTATCTGAATAATGTGAATGTAAAAAAATAAATAATACGATTTGATAAAACTACATGTATAACACTTAGATTATTTGAAACCATTTGATGCTGTACATGTGGACTAGTCATTATAAATGCATTAAGATGTGCTCTCTTACTTTAGAAAGTAAACATGAACTTACCTACTTGCTTTGCTTTCCTTAAATATATCTTTTTTCAGTACTCATGTATCAGCAAGTTATCTTAAAATAGTTTGTTCCACTGGTAGAATCTGCCTTGTACTCAGGTCTCAGGTCAGTTGGAGAACTCTTCCTGCTTTATCTCTCTCATCTAGAGAACTTGATTAAAGATAAAAAGATATGCCCTTGGGTGAAATGTTTGTGCATATAAAGCAAGGGGACTGTCCTTCAGCCCTGTAGGTCTTTTATGCATTCCAGTGAGCACTGACCTCTGAGTTGGACACCTAGGAAAGAAAACTGGACACAAACAGTTTATACACTGTCTGGAACACTTTCTATAGGGCCCTCAGAGCTAGTTTATGAACAACAAAAAACACCAATCTTGTTACTTTAGAGTCAGATTTGGGTTTTTTTAATCATAGTGACCCAGTTCACCATGTTTGACTAATAATTTTAGCTGTACGTAAGTATCAAAATCCCACTTAAATGGACATTTGCTACCATTGAGGATATTATAATATAGATTCTGCAAGTAATTACTAAGGGATCTAAAGGATTTTAAGCAATTCAACATTAAAGAAATAAGTGTTGGCATTGAAAAGAATGGCCTTTATAGGTAGGTAGATGATAGATAGATAACATATAGATATATAAATGATACAGTTATGGGGCGCCTGGGTGGCTCAGATGGTTAGGCATCTGCCTTCGGCTCGGGTCACGATCCCAGGGTCCTGGGATCGAGTCCCCCATCAGGCTCCCTGCTCCTTGGGAGCCTGCTTCTCCCTCTGCTTCTCTCTCTCTCCCTCTATCTCTCATGAATAAATAAAAATCTTTAAAAATAAAAAAAATGATATAGTTATGTATATGTATAATACATTAATATATATGATACAGTTACTGAAAGATCTGTTACATTGCTTTAGAGTTCTTTTTTGTTTGTTTTTATATAACTTCAGTATGCTTTTCGAAAGCTGAATTTTTTTTACAGTCTTTTTTTAATTCCAGTATAGTTAACATACAGTGTGATAATAGTTTCAAGTATACGATATAGTGATTCAACAATTCCATATATCACCCAGTGCTCATCACAACAAGTGCACTCCTTAAGGAAACTTGAATTTTTAACAAGGATTATTATATTATAAATTTTCCCCCCTAGCAGTTGAATTAATATTTAGTTAGATGTACTACAACATTAGACAAATTACGAATGGAACCCCTTCTATCAAATGAATAAAGAGAGGCCATTCTACCATAAAGGCGAAATGATTTGATATGCTCAAGATCACTAGTATCAGACTAGTTCTACAGACAGACTTCTAATTTCTAATTCAGTGCTCTTTTTTTGCTACATTAACAATAAAATGTATGAAAATTATAACAAATCATGAACTGTATAGTACCTTTAAAAATTATTTTTCTAATGTTTTGATAGCCCAGGAATGAAGTAAATCTACCATGGGAGGATCTTTCTTGTTATCTACATACGACTTTACACTGTTTACACCCTTCTCAATCCTCTGATTCAAGATCATTGAATTCTGACCTTGTTATTCTGAGATTTTTTTTTTATATCCTTTCTTCAGCTTCCTAATGAGATACTACACTCACTATGCGTTCCGGATACGTCAGCTGTAATATTGCCAACATTGGATGCTCACCACCACTAAGTTTAATCCTGTCAGATATTGTTTGAGTGGGATAGGTGGTGCCATACATAGTGACTGTGTAAAAGTATACTGAGCTTGTTGACAGACTTTGGAGATCGTCACTCTGAATGAAGGATATTCTCTTATGAATGTTTCGCTTGTATTCTTATGATAGTTACAGTCAATGTCATTTAAATGACAAATTTATGTAGTGTAGATATATTTATAATTTTTACATTTCTCAAGAAAAAGAAGAATTGCAAGAAATTGTAAGAGAACTTGTCAGTTTTTAGTTTCAAGCTGTCTTTATCATTGGTTAAAATGCAGGATTTAGAATTTTGAATGTTATTACTATATATAGGTGCCTGGAATACTTATTACGAAATGATGCAAATCCAGGGATCCGTGACAAGCAGGGATACAATGCAGTTCATTATTCAGCTGCTTATGGTCACCGTCTATGTCTTCAGCTGGTAAGATTCGTGAATTGTTGTGGAAAGACTAATGTGATTTTATATTCTAATAACATAATGAAAATGAGAATAAATGAATCAAGAAACAAACTCTATTGCTTTTTAATATTTTTAGAGCCAATATATACCTCTTACATTCATACTTGCCTCAGTAAGATATCTCTCATTCCCTTTTCCCTTTCAAAAAGAAAAGAGAAAGGAGAAAATTAGATCTCTAGAGAGGGCTACTTATGTCCTTCCCTTATACTACCCCATGTTGATGTAGCATTTCTTTTCCTTTTCCTTTAAATAAATGTTTTCCAGAAATTTCTAAAGAACTGTAACCATGTCTTGTGTGAGAAATGTCCCTGTGAGAGGAAGGTTTTTTCCATATATTTAGAGATTTCTGAAAGGCCCATTCTTTTTACAGTCCCTCCTGATAGAGGGGAGACAGTACTTCTGCAAAGGAACTTTTTATTTCAGCTGTGATCTCATTCTTGAATATACACGCCATTCACCCCACTTTGCCAAACCAAAGAGAAAGCAAGGGACAAGTGAAAAGATTCTCAAGTGTGTAACAGATGCTTCAAGTTAAAAGTTTCTTTATTTAGACTTACCTTATAAATTATATTAAACTTTGCTTCCCTTCAAGGGAGAGTGGGTATTAAAGATAGAAAAAGTAGGTTGACGTATTTAATATAGTACTTAAAACCCTGCTATCAGAAAAAACAAATATTTCCTTAGGTTATTATGGTATCTTATACACTAAAATCTTAGACCCATGAATATAGATTTGTGGTCTATTATATTGTACACTTGTTCTATGTAAAAGACTTAATTTTTGGAGGCAAAGGGAGCCCAAGTTCAGAATAGAATTTAACAAAGACTTGTGTAAATAGAGACCTGTAGCATTTAGCTCTAAAATATATGAAAACTTTCTAAGCTAAATATTCTTACTTTAAATTTTATTTCAGATTGCAAGTGAAACTCCTTTAGATGTTGTAAGTAATAATCAGTTTTCTCCCTACTATTCAGAGTATTATAATTAATTTATTTGCTCTCACTAGAAGCCTGTTTTACATATTCCAGAGAACAAAGACAGAGACAGAAATCATGTATTTATGGGGTGGGTCTGGGGCGGGTGGTTCTTACTTGGTGGTGAGTAAATAGCATTTCCCTCAAGCTAGTTTATAGCCCTACCTCAGAGCTCTTACTCTGTGGTCCTCACTACCCTTTCATGATGATCTGTTGTATAAGCTTGCTGAGTGGAATTTTCATAATATAATATGGTCTGGGATTTTAAAATTCATATTTACATATCAATTTTTACTCTAAAATGGATTTAAACTTGGGGGGCAGGAATAACTGCTATAATATATCTAAAAGTACCATTTCTGACATTTCAAATACTTTTCTTTACAGTTAATGGAAACCTCTGGGACAGACATGCTGAGTGATTCAGATAACAGAGCAACAATAAGCCCTTTACATTTGGCCGTGAGTACTGCCTTTAGAGCCAGCTTGGTGGCTGGTTTACTGAAAATATCTCCCATCTGGTGGTTTGACTCAAACTAGTACCCAGTAACTTTTGGGCCATGTATGATGATCATGAAATTAAACCTTCAACAACTTTTTTAATTCAGAGACTTGAGTGTACTTGTTATGTTTTGTTTAAAAAATAAACAAACAGTGGTCTTTGGGTTTCTCCCGAAGCCTACCCTGAGGGAGAGTTTACCTGTGATGTGAATTTTTAAAATGCACTGCCCTAATGGAATGGCTTCTAACTTGCTGAGCAGAACTGTATTTTCTGCTGTATTTCTACAACTTTTTGATCTTAGAGCACTAAGTGTGTGTTCACTGGTCCTTCAGTTGCTCATGCCATAGAATTTGGCCCTATGATTTGTAATGTCCCTTCTAGTTTAAGATGCCTCTAATTTTTTTCTCGTAATGTCGGTCACTAAGAGGAGAAGGTTAGTAAAGTATAACAGTTCTTTAAATCAGATGTGGAATGAATTACTTTAGGAAATTTCAAGCAGGGCCCAATCTTGTTCTTTTTGTGCTGAAAGAAGCGTCTGTTTTTGGAACATGAGCACGTTAACAGTTGTTGCGGGTGAGAACAAGACAGAATCAGGAGACTCAGATACAGTCATTAGCTGTTTGGGAGATTTCTGGTTTTACGTATAGTAAAATGTTTATAAGGGTATATACTTAAGTTAATGAGGATCACTACAAGTTCACTGATCCCTTTGTTTCTTCTCATGTATGCTTTTTTTTTTTTATAATTTTCTCCTTGCATATTTTCTAACACCGACGCATCTGCATTGAATTTTCTGCGCCTTTCTCCCTGCTAGTATTTCCTACCATTTTCTGAATAACTGAGGAGGTATGCTGCATCTTCCTGCTTCCTTGCCCTTTGGGTCTCTGGAAATACTATATGCTCTCCCAGACTTGCAGAGTAAATAAGTCATCTGAAAGGGCAAAACGAGCATGGAGAAAATAGCTATTTTACTCTTGGTGGCGAGAAATGAAGTCTGAGCAGATGACTAGGCAGTTCTTCTTACGTCATCACCATTATTCTTACACTAGCACTGCCATTTCCTAAGCACTTACTAGGTGCCAGACTAAGCACTTTGCCAAGTTTTTGAATATATTAGCTCAAAAACTTTCCTTTTTTTTTTTTACTAGTTTTTTTTTACTTCATGGCTATTATGTATAGTGGTGCTATATATGAACATGGCTGTGCTGAACAGTGTTTTTAAGCTGAAATGGAAACAATTTTTAATTTAGTAATTAGGCTCAGTGAACTGTGATTATACCACCACTTTTCACATTTTGTATCTGTTCCTAGGAGGTTTTCAGAAATTAACTTGAAGTGATTTTTTTTCCCTTCCAAACTCTCCTAATCTGGGACACCTTGATGCTATGAAAACACACCAGCTTGAGGTCTTGGTTCTTGTCTTTGCACATAGTACATTGTCTCCGTCTTATACAGGGACATCATGAGGGGAACACCTCTCTGGCAAATCATCATGGCTTCTTGTCATCCTTATTTTGTCTCTTCTTATTGTTATATACTATCTTCTGCATATATTGTGTTTCTTAAAGTTCTTTCTGCTAGTAGCATAATTTCATTGACCCAGTATTGAGGAACAAGATTAAATATGATTCTAGGACAGTAGAGTTCCTTAATCTCCAGTTACTTTAATCTTTGAGGTAGTTGAGAATCTCTGTAGGTAGTCAGAAACATCAAAGAGATCAGTAAGGCCCAGAGCAACTTTACGTCTTCCTGGTACTTTCTGACATTTTCCGCAAGAAATAACTTTACAGCCCTTTGCTGCAGTGTGGGGTCTTCTTGTAGCTATGTATCTTTTTTTTTTTTTTCTTTCAGATTTAGCTCAAGTCTGGTAGACTTACATTTTTCAATTCCCAGTGAAATGTTCACATGTGATAACAAACTGCTAACCTGTAGTTTTGAATGGTATCAGTAATGATGTATGAAAGTCCTTTAGCTACAAAATGGTAATATGAGTAAACTAGAGAGAACATTCCTTGTGTGCCATAACTGGGTCTTGTTAATTGCTTTATGTCTTGCTCAGCACCTAGTCCAACGAGAATAATAGATGTTCAGTTGACATGTTGGTTTTTGATATGAATTATGTGGAAATCCTCTTCATCAGACTGTGGTAAAGAAGGGGACTTCAGTCTGACAAACCTTTACACTCTCGTCCTCTATTGTACAGCTAGTACCTGGCACATGGCAGTTATTCAGGCCGGGCTCAGTGTTAAGTATTTTTGTGCTAAAAGAAATGTTTATTTTTTAGATACAGCGTGTTATGAAGTGAGGATAGTCATTTCAGTTTGAGAAATCAGAAGACTCAAATACTAATTAACTTTAGTTGCTGGCTATCTCTATAATTTAAGTATAGTAAAATTTTTTCAGGGAGTTAATCAGAGCACTGAACTGTAATTAATAGCACAGGCTTTGTAATCATAGACTTAGAATGAAAGCTTTAACTGAATCTATGTTACATATTCATTGAATGCCAGGAACCAGACCATTTATGCTAGTGATAAAATCACCTGTCATTTGAACGTTTATTCTCTGCAGAATACCCATTCTCTAACACCATAGCCTACTATTTGGTTATTAGAAAAATTTATACTTAACTTTTCTGAACTCTTAACATGCAAGTTTTAGGTTATCTCAAATATAATAATGCGAAGACAAGTTTTCTTATTACTTCCTTTATGTTTTCTAAGGTATCTGAGAAGTCAGTCTAAATATGTACTTTTTTAATTTATATTTTTATTTATTCCTAGGCCTATCATGGTCACCACCAAGCACTAGAAGTGTTGGTACAGTCTTTGTTAGATCTTGATGTGAGAAATAGTAGTGGAAGAACACCCTTAGATCTTGCAGCATTTAAGGGCCATGTTGAATGTGTGGATGTACTCATTAATCAGGGAGCCTCAATTTTAGTAAAAGACTACATTTTGAAGAGGACACCTATACATGCTGCAGGTATGTCAAAAATTATGCATGATTTTAGTTACCACTTTCTTTCTAATACTCTTTTCTTTTTCAATTTTTTGTGTGTTGTACTCCTGGTAATTATTTTAATAATGTTGACTTTAAACAGTCGAATGAGGCGTGCCTAGATGGGTCAGTTAAGCGGTTGACTCTTGATTTTTGGCTCAGATCATGATCTCAGGGTCCTGGAATCGAGCCCTATGGCGGGCTCTGTGCCCTGCGTGGAGTCGGCTTGTCCCTCTTCCTTTGCTCCTCCCTCCTCTCATGCACGTGCACTTGCTCTCAAGTAAATAAATAAAATCTTAAAAAAATAAAAGGTCAAATTCTTCTTTCAAGGAAAAGCCAACAGAAAGATTATGATTGCTTTAAAACATTATCTACCTTAGAAATTGGATTTATGTAGTAGTCTAACTTCTGAAGTACTTCATCAACAAAACAGTGCAATATTTTTTACTTCTTTTTGATGGAAGTTATTTTGGATTGGTACGTGCTTTCATTTAACAGTGAACATTTTGGCTTATTGTACTAAGGTGCTCTTTAAATTAAACATATATTCAGACAGGAGTTATAGAGCACCTACTTTATGCAAGATCTACTCCATGGTGTGATTTTGTGATGTTGCAAATATGTGAAAATTCAAAATTAGGTAACCATGTCGTTGTATGACTTGGCACTGCTGTGTATCCCTAGCAGATGTAGATCTACAACTCTCTACAGGAATTACAAGTCAGTATTCATTTTATTTTTTTTTTTTAAAGATTTTATTTATTTATTTATTTATTTGACAGAGACTGCAAGAGAGGGAACACAAGCAGGGAGAGTGGGAGAGGGAGAAGCTGGCTTCCTGCTGAGCAGGGAACCTGATGCAGAGCTCGATCCCAGGACGCTGGGATTTTACCTGAGCCAAAGGCAGACACTTAATGACTGAGCCACCCAGGCGCTCCTGTACTCATTTTAAATAGCTAAGACTGGTACATTGGAAGAAATCATAGCCAAGTATTTTTTTTTCACCCCCAGTAGGCCTCCTTTATATGATTAGATTCATTTCAGTTAGTCTGTTTTTATAGAGTGATTTTTAAGGACACATTTTAACATGGGTCTTGGACTTTACTTCTAGTCCTTTAGGAAACTTGCATTTTTGAAGACTCTAGGTAACACCCACTGTTGCTCCAAAGCAGCCTTTCAGAAACTGTCAGATATTCAAGCAGGGCTCAAAAACAGAAAAATTTATAAGTGGGTTAAAATTCCTAACAAGTGTGTATATATATAAGAATTAAGTCAAAATGCCGTCCTTTTCTATTATCTTACTCTGAAAAAAAAATGAAATTTATATACCATTCTGCAACTTGAAAAATTGTGTTGTAAGCACAGATCATTTGCAGACCTGATTTAAAGCTTTCATGGAGTGGTTTGCACTCTTAATTGATAAATATTGAACCAAGACACTAGTCAGTCCCTCAGAAGTGGCTAACCAATGTCAGATAGTCTATACATCCAATCTACTGAAAAAGCTACAGGTTATTATTGGTGCCTACCTATTTAATAAATGCAAACCTGGTTCTATAGATGCCTTTCAACTGTGGAGATTGTTAGCACCTTATTTATAAGTCATGAAGAGGACCTTGCGATTTTTTTTCCAAGAGGGAACCAGGTTTCCCCCACCAGTGATGTTATGCTCGATGTTTTAGGTACTGAACTTATAAAATACAAAACTCCTCAGGAGCTACTGTGTACTGAGTGCAAGTGAGTCCATTAAAGAAGTGGCAGGCCAAACAATTTCCCTGATGCATCCCCAAGTGAGATGCTTCAATGACAGCTGTTAATGATTACAATGAGAGTTGCTGGCAGAGTATAGCATATAGATATGGAATGATCTTGTACCATAAGTCTTAATAACTATTAGAATTTAATATAGTTGTGAGAAGGTACTGTAGAATATTAGGGCACCTAGCTTGCTTTTATTAATTTGTCTTTTAATTAGGAAAAACAGTGATAGATACTCCTTTTTGCATCATTATGTAAGTTATATATTACTTTAAACTTCAAATTTTATTGTATTAGGGGAAGGACCTGATTTTTGCAGAGGATTTAACTTACCTTAAAAGCTTACTGTTTTGGGGCGCCTGGGTGGCTCAGTCAGTTGAGCATCTGCCTTCGGCTCAGGTCATGATCCCAGGGCCCTGGGATCAAGCCCCACATCAGGCTCCCTGCTCAGCGGGGAGCCTGCTTCTCCCTCTCCTACCCACTCGTGCTATATCTCACTATCTCTGTCTCTTTCTCTTTTCTCAAATAAATAAATAAAACCCTAAAAAAGCTTACTGTTTTCTTTAGGCTACTTCTATTTTATGCCATTGCACATATTATGTATTTGGACATATAAATGCATTTTTTAGATCATTTCTTCTTTTATTATATATGTATCAGTTGGAATTCTTTCATAGTACCTAGCTAAAAGGTGGCTTAAGTGACAAGTGTTTACCCTCTCACATAAAATGTTCAGAGGTAGAGTCAGCTCTGGGATTGATTGATTCAGCAGTGGTGTCAGAGCTCTCTATTCTCTTGCCTTCGCAGTCATGGCACAGAATGGCTATTGCTTCTTTACAGGGTTCACATCAAAAATAAGGAAAAGAAGAAGGACTTGTCGTTATCAGGGATAAAAATATTTCTCAGAAGCCCTCAGACTTATTAGCATCTCAGTGGTCAGAGTAGACCAGCACTCATCTTGAAACCAGTCACTGGCAAAGAACAGAGCTGTGATGGACTTGATCTAATCACGATTTTATCCCTTGGCTGAAGGCAGGGTGCCTTCCTTGATCACACTGCCATCACCAGAGCGCCAAATAAAATGAGCATTCTATTAGCAGGGCAGATGGTGAGGGATGGCTATGGCCATAATTTACCATGATGGATTTATATCTATTCAGTTTCACCAACAAAGGCAATAGAAACCTTTGTATCCATATTTTTTCTTTGACTATTAAATTCATTGACACTATCCCACAGTTAAACATCTAGAAAATGTGCCCTAAGATGGAAATTTTCTATTTTACCATGGTAATTACTGAAATTTTAAAATATCACTTTACAGCAACAAACGGTCATTCAGAGTGCTTGCGGCTACTAATAGGAAATGCAGAACCGCAGAATGCAGTAGACATTCAAGATGGAAATGGACAGTAAGTTTTAATAGTTTTTAAATTATTTTTAAGATGTGTGTTAATCTTCATACTTTTGCCCCTATTTTAGTAAGTCTGTCATAGTATGTTAACTGAGTAACATCAAGTACAGTTTTCTCATTTAAGTATACTTTAAAGTTGCATCACAAAAAGGCATGTTTAGAAAACAGGCCAGCACACTGTTAATTGTTTTTCATGGAGTGGAGTCTTAGGTGGTAACAATGAACCTATTCCTGTTGTTGCTCAGGACTCCTCTGATGCTGTCTGTTCTCAACGGGCACACGGACTGTGTTTACTCACTGCTGAACAAAGGAGCAAATGTAGATGCCAAAGATAAATGGGGAAGGACAGCATTGCATAGAGGGGTAAGCAAAAATATTCCCATTGCCTTTAATCAGAAATTTCTTAGGATCTCATTTTGCCTAAGACTGAACTAGACTATGTTTATTTTTCTTCATCAAATTTTTACCAAATAGTTTTTGAATGCTAATTTTAAACACCTACAAAACCCAACTTAATCGGGGCACCTGGGTGGCTCAACAACCGAGCGTCTGCCTTTGGCTCAGGTCTTGATCCCAGAGTCCTGGGATCTAGCCCTGCATCAAGCTCAGCTCCACAGGAAGCCTGCTTCTCCCTCTCCCACTCCCCCTGCTTGTGTTCCTGTTCTCGCTGTATCTCTCTCTGTCAAATAAATAAAATCTTAAAAAAAAAACAAAAACAATCTAGGAAACAGTGTTGGAACAAAATTTTAAAACCCCAAGACCTTGAGTAGAATTAATGTCCCATTTACTTTTTCTCATTATTATAATTATTTTCTTACACATTTTTGTCTTTTTCACCTTTGCAACCATTCACCTTTTTTGCCTTCATTGTTTTCACTGATTTATAAGTTCCTTTATTCGTTTTTCATGATACTTGTATTTTGACAAAGTTACTGCTGTACATGAATTTTTAAGCCAATTCCAATAAAAATAATGAATTACTCAAAAAATGGTAAATGCTTTGATTGATGGACAATTATGGGGAATACAGACTTTAAAATTTTTTAATTGGCATATAGTACCCAAAATAATATATTCAACTTCCTGCAAATACTTTTTCTTTCAGGCAGTTACAGGCCATGAAGAATGTGTAGATGCATTACTTCAACATGGTGCTAAGTGCTTATTTCGAGATAGCAGGGGCCGGACACCTATACACTTGTCAGCTGCCTGTGGACACATTGGTGTTCTCGGAGCCCTTTTGCAGTCAGCAGCATCTGTGGATGCAAATCCAGCCATAGCAGACAATCATGGATATACAGCACTTCACTGGGCCTGCTACAACGGTTGAGTATACAGATACAAATAAATCTACATTAAATGCCTGTTAATGTACCAAGCAGAGACAACAAACTGTAACACATTCTGATATTCATGAATATTTAATAGGCAACTATAAGATCAGTAGGAAGCATAAAAATGCTGTACTACGTAGTTGTAAGCTTACTCCTGTCACTTGTCATGGTAAAGCCAAGGCACTAGTTTGTCAAAGATCTTTTGAAATAAACTATCATTAGGTTTGAAATTTTTCTTAGATCTTTGCTTCAACAGCTATTTTGCATTTTTAACATTTATAATATTTACAATGTCTTTTATATAGTATGCTTGTAGTTTGATTATGTTCTTTTACTTTCCAAGCTTACTTGTATTAGGGGAAAAAAGGAAGCAAAAAATGAAAATGTATCACATTCTAAACTGAAATCTGTGTATGTTTTCTGAGCACATTGCAAGATAGATCCTTCTATCAACAGTAACATGTATGCTCAACATTTTAAGGGAATAAAATGTTAGCAGATCACAGAACTAGAAACTTAGAAACTTTTATGGTTAAGTTAACTTTGCTGCATGATTAGAACATCGGGCTCCCTGCTCAGCTGGAAGCCTGCTCCTCCCTCTCCCACTCCCCCTGCTTGTGTTCCCTCTCTCCCTGTGTCTCCCTCTGTCAGATAAATAAATAAAATCTTAAAAAAAAAAAAAAAAGAACATTGACCTTTGGCTTCCTAGAAGCTCACGGCCAGTCAGCTCACTAACTGTGACTCAGAGAAGTATAAAGCAATGTTTAAGGTATATATGTTCAAAGTGGAGTTTGGCCTATGAAATGTCACTAAGATAATTTAATTGAGGAGGCATGTTGAGAGATAATGATTTTTTTCCTTGTGTAGGGCCACAGATTTGATCATGTTAGAAAATGCTAGGGTACATTATGTACATTGTAAACATCAACTCTGTCAAAAGTTTGGGCTTGGGGCTTTAGCCAGGGATGTGAGGGGGTTTTTAATTTGTTTTGAATTTCATTGTAGCATTTAGATTGCTGTTAGTTGTGAGAGATACCTGAAAAACTAGTTCACAATTCTAATAACTTTCCCTCAAAATACTAAGAAAATATAAATTGCCTCTTGATAAAAATACTGACTTGCTTTAAAAAATCAGTATCTGTTCTAAAATCCAGCTGACTGCCTTACCAGAGAGTTGAGGTTTCTGCCTTTCTGTAATGTGTTGCTTCATGGTTCTTTTACTGGAGCCATGTTGACAGATAATCTTGAGTTACAGTGAAAGGGGAGAAACCTGAATCTTGCAAAATCATAGTTTAATTAAATGTTTTCGTAAGTATTTTCTAGAGGCAGTATTTCAATTTTCTTATTAATCTTTGTGCCAGAATTGACAGTTCTAATCTTTTGCTAGGAGAAAGTTTTGGTCTCTTCTTGAGGATTGTTCTGTGATTACTATTGGGCATCCGTCATCTCTGAGTACCATTTTGATGGTACCATCAAAACTTGAATAGTTAAATGTATTGCTAATTCACAAGCTTAGCTTAGTCCATTTCATTTTTAACTACCTCAGATCCTAAACCAGAACAGTTTTGAAGATTAAAACCTTTGGATTTCAACTTCTTTTTTTTTTTCTTTTCTACTCAGTAAAGTTGGTATTTAATGAATATAGTGAAATGGCCAAAGATTAGTCCTGAATTTAAAAAGATAACTATAGAGCGCCTGGGTGGCTCAGTTGGTTAAGCAACTGCCTTCGGCTCAGGTCATGATCCTGAAGTCCCGGGATCGGGTCCCACATCGGGCTCCCTGCTCAGCAGGGAGTCTGCTTCTCCCTCTGACCCTCTTCCCTCTCGTGCTCTCTCTCATTCTCTCTCTCTCAAATAAATAAATAAAATCTTTAAAAAAAAATAAAAAGATAACTATATTTTGCCATTGGAATTTTATTTGTTTTTATAATGTAACCTGACATTTTACAAGTACAGCAAAAACCAAAACCATCTAATATTGTAGGGAAACACCTACAGATGTGAGTTTTATTTAAGAAATGAAACTAGGTTTTGGGGGGTTTCTTTGTTTTAGTTTTTAGAGAGGGGTAGGGAAGAGCAGAGAGAGAGGGAGAGAGAGAATCTTAAGCAGGCTCCACACACCGATCTCAGAGCCATTGTGGGGCTCCATCTCACAACCCTGAGATCATGACCTGAGCTGAAATCAAGAGTCGGATGCTTAACTGACTGAGCCACCCAGGCACCCCAAGAAATGAAACTGTTTTGAAGCAGACTTTTATTGCTTGATTCTTTTTTTTTTTTTTTAATATATCAGTGAGAACCATTGGAAAAATCACACAGTAAGCCTCAGGCAGAGCATTCAGTTGTAAATAAACTGCTGTTTTAACTGCCCTTTGGAGAGTTGCTATCTGTTATAACATTTCTTATCAGGTCTTTATGGAGAACACTGTTTCCCGAAAGTGAATTCCTACTCTATTACTGCTAAATTTAGATTTTCTAAGCACGTTGTGTACGAGAGACAAAACAGACAAAATTTTGCATGAACTACATGCCTGGTTACCATTTAAAGATCATAGCAGATGTGTCTAATTTCCAGACTGTAGCAAATTTGTGCAGATTCTGAATTGAGCTGAAAGGAATTAGATGTGTGTTGGCTATATGCAATAAGAGACTATACAAGCAGTCTAAAATTAATACCATATTTATAGTCGAAAGTCTATTTTATAATTTGGCATTCTGAGAGTAGAATATGTAAAATGGTTTTACTTCCACTAGTAAATTATTGTATGGCTAAAAACAAAATTGGAAGCACTCTAACAAACCAGAAGACAACCTTTCTTTCAAAATTAAAATGAAATGATGACAAAGCGTTAGAAAACATACTACATTTTAAAGTCCAGATTTTCAGTTTGTGTAATTATTCAATCACAGAACTTCGTACTTACATTATCCCTTTGTTTCTTTTAAAAATGGATAAAATTTTTTTGAAACTCTGAAGTGTTCTCAGAATATCCCTCTGAAACATGAAGAGTCCATTTGTATCATCCTTTCATAAACTAGGATGCAAAGTGATGAGTTTTCAGCTTGATATGATTGCTAGAGGTAATCAGTAGCCCAGAACTCTTTTTTTGCAGTATGCAGTCTGCTCAGTAGTTCTCAAATCTTTCAGTCTCAAGATCTGGGAGTTAGAGCTGTCAATATTTACTATATTGGAAATGAGGACTGAGAAATTTAAGGATATTTATTAATTTACTTTAAAATAATAAATCCATTAAATATTAATATAAATAACTTTTATAAAAATAACTTCTTTTCAAAACAAAAAATTTTAGTGAGAAGGGTGGCAAATTTCTTTACTGGCTAGTTTAAGAGAAGACTAGTTTGCAGTAGCACCCCAAGGTTCCCCAGACCCACACCTTGAGAACTATTCTAGGAAGATAGGAAACTCTTAAATCTATACTGGCCAACTTTCCATGGCTACTTCTTGGTAATGAGTTGACATTTGGAGAGAGAAGATTAAAGCAAGGCTTCTCAACCTCAGCACTATTGCCATTTTGGCAAAAATTCTGTTGTGAGGGACTGCCGTGTGGATTGAAGGTGTTTAGCAGCTTCCCTAGCCTCTACCCACTAAATGAGAGTAGCACCCTCCTACCCCATGCCCAGTTGTGATGAGCAAAAATTTCTCCAGACATGGCTAAATGTCTCCTGAAAAGCAAAATTGCTCCAGTTGGGAACCACTGGTTTAGAGAAAATAACTAACATAAGATGAAACAATTACAGGTTTCCTAAAACATAACTTTCTTTTCCTGGTAAAAACAATTATAGGATAAAGATTAAGTTGAGCTATTATTTGCGAATAGTAGAGTAATTAAAAAGAAAATCTAACATCACTTTGTTAGCCAGATATTAAGCCATAGAAATAAAGAGCCTGTGTAAGAATCTTATTTATTCCTAAAGCAGGTTCCAAATGACTAATGAAATAAATGATGTAGCATTTCATTTGCAGCAATTAATATAGCAATTGGGGTGATTTAACTAAAATCCTGGCTTTGAAAATTAGGTAAAGAAAATCTGAGGTTTGGGTTTTTCCGTCTTCAAAAACTGTGGGCCTAGGAACCTGACTGGCTCAGTCTGTTGAGCAACTCTTGATTTCGACTCAGGTCATGGTCTCTGGGCTGTGGGATTGGCCCCGTGTCTGGCTCTGCACTCAGTCCAGAGTCTGCTTGAGATTCTTGCTCCCCCTCTCCCTTTGCTCCTCCCCCCACTCGCATGCGCACATGTGCGCACTCTCTCTCAAATAAATAAAATCTTTAAAAATAAATAAATAAAAACTGTGGGCCTGATACCTATCAGTAATCTATACTTGTCCTTCAACCCAGCAATATCATTTCTAGGAAATTATCCTACAAAAATACTTGTTTAAAAAAAAAAAAAAGTACTAGAGCGCGCTTGGGTGGCTCAGTGGGTTAAGTGTCTGCCTTCAGCTCAGGTCATGATCCAGCAGGCTCAGAGCCGGGATTCTGCCTCTCCCCCCGGTTCCCCCATCACTCGCTCAGGTGCACAAAAATAAATAAAATCTAAAAAAAAGTTTTAAATAAAGTACTGGAATATTTCATTACAGCAGGTTTGTTATTTTAACAGAAGCAAACTAGCAGTCACCTCAAAATACATAGTTAGAAGTTAAAATCATTTATAATACACTTTAATGCTGTGAAGTTTTTCCAAAGATTCAAGAGTAAGATTTCTATATATGCTATTATGGAAGGATGTATACAATTTATTAAGTGAAAAGCAAGTTGCAGAATTAAAAATTTGCATAAAAATTTTAAAAGGACGTAGTACATGTTTATGTGCATGCAGTTGTATATGCCTAGAAATTTCCTGAAACTATTAAGGTAATAGTGGTTACAGTCTAGAAAGTAGAACTGGAGATGGTGGTGGGGACAGGGACATGTACTTCTTCCTTCTAGACACTACTGTAGTATTTGAGATTTTATCATTAGCTCATTACTGAAATCAGAACATATTTACATTTTTGAAGCTATATAAATATATATTGATTTTAAAGTTATGCTATATAAATAAGACTTTTTTAAAAATGACTGAATATATCTAACTGGTCATCATGAAAAAGATGAACAAGAGTAAATTTTTTCCCCACAAAACAAATATCTGTTGTGTCAGTAATAAACTGCTATAATTACAAGAAGCTTCTGAATTTCAGGTCTTGAGGTTGTACTTTGGATTTTAAAACTCCTAGAAATATGACGTTTAATGCATTCAGTGAACTCAGTGAACTTTTAATCCATGTGAAGTTTTTTTTTATTTGTGTTAGGGATATGTGGGTGTATTTGGGCACTTCATGATCTTTTTTGGATTTTAATATCTGATTCTCATTTACTTATTTAGGTCATGAGACATGTGTAGAACTTCTTTTAGAACAGGAAGTTTTCCAGAAAATGGAAGGAAATGCTTTCAGTCCTTTGCATTGTGCTGTGTAAGTAAAGGCAGATGAATCAGATTTCGTTTGACTATTTAAGAAATACACCATTGCTGTGAGAGTGATCACTTTGTTATCTTACACAGGATAAATGACAACGAAGGTGCTGCTGAAATGTTAATTGATACTTTAGGTGCCAGCATCGTGAACGCCACAGATTCAAAAGGAAGGTAGGAATTCAACTGTGTAGAAAATAGCCTGACTTGCAATAGGAAAAAAAAATTTAACTACCAGACTAGTGTGGAAGAATTAACAGAGAAGCCATTATTGAGTAAAAGTTGATTTTTATATTTGGAAGTACAAATTATTATAAAGTCTTAATATTTATAATACATTATAAATTTTGTGTAATATTTATATTTATATATAATAGTAAATATTATTAATATTTATATATAATTATATAATTCTCATTATAAAAGGCTTTTTTATTATGATTTTTAGCCAGTCTTCCTCTTTAGAACTTATAAAATGTAGAATTCCCCCCTTTTTTAAAGGTATGTTTGTTACCCAAAGATTATTGTTAATAAAGTTAAAAGTTTTCTCAATATAAATAAAGGCTGGAGGAGAGTCCACCAGTTGTATTAGGTGGCAGTGTTGGAGCAGGATTTATTTATTCTAAAATTTCCTTAATGATACAATTTTTTTTAGCAATTTTATGTTATACTATACTATATACTATTAAGGGCCTTTTATATTACCAGAAATACAAATTACTCTGGCAAAAATTAGTAAGCTCCATTAAGCCTATTTTTATCAGGCAGTGATTTTATAGCCTAATATGTAAACCCTTGAAAATTGCTTGTCATAAATTCAGGAATAATTTTTTCTAGAGTATATGACAAACAGATTTAGTGAAGTCTTCCCATTTCTTTGTATTACAGAACTCCTCTCCATGCGGCCGCCTTCACGGACCACGTAGAGTGTTTACAGCTGCTGCTCAGCCATAATGCTCAAGTCAATTCTATAGACTCTTCTGGGAAAACACCTCTCATGATGGCCGCAGAAAATGGACAGACAAATACAGTTGGTAAAGACACTGGTTAAGGCTTGTATTATTCTAATGCTATAATGCTATATTGCTTATGTGTGTTTAACTTAGGGAAAACTAAGATCCCAAGCCTTCTGACTCTGTCAAATTTGCCACAGTTAACTTCCCCACTCCCGAGATTTAAAACCTTTAACCCACTTTCAGGGCGCCTGGGTGTCTCAGTCGTTAGAGTCTGCCTTCGGCTCGGGTCATGATCCCAGGATCCTGGGATCGAGCCCCACCTCGGGCTCCCTGCCCCGTGGGAAGCCTGCTTCTCCCTCTCTCACTCCCCCTGCTTGTGTTCCCTCTCTCGCTGTGTCTCCCTCTGTTAAATAAATAAATAAAATCTTTTTTAAAAAATAAATAAATAAATAAATAAAACCTTTAACCCACTTTCAACCCACATTTTTATCTAGGGCCACAGTGTTTTCATTTGCCCTTGCTGATTAAACGGTCTTACTGTATTGGGGCGCCTGGGTGGCTCCGTTGGTTAAGCGACTGCCTTCGGCTCAGGTCATGATCCTGGAGTCCCTGGATCGAGTCCCGTATCGGGTTCCCTGCTCGGCAGGGAGTCTGCTTCTCCCTCTGACCCTCTAACCCTCTTCCCTCTCGTGCTCTCTGTCTCTCATTCTCTCTCTCTCAAATAAATAAAATCTTAAAAAAAAAACGGTCTTACTATAACAGGGCAGTGTAAGATAGCGGGTAAGACCGTGGCTCTGGAGTTAGATGGACTGCATAGGAGTCCTAGATCTACCAATTAAGTGACCTTATGACTCAATTTTTTCATTTTTAAAGTTGAGAAAATTAACAGTGCCTACTTTATAGGATTATTGTGAGAGTATGAATCCAGAGTGCTTAACGCAGTATTTGAAATTTAGTAAGCTCTCACAGCATAAATGTTAGTTGCCATTTTGTCTGTGACTTACAGGATAATGTGATGATATAGTGTGTACATTTTAGGTTACAGTATTTTTCTTAAACTCTCACTAGAGGGATATTGTTGCTTTGTATCTTTATTTCTATACAGTGAGTTTATTAGTAATCTAAGATACATGTTCATAAATATAAGACTTGATGCAATTTTTCCTCCCAGAGATGCTGGTTAGCAGTGCTAGTGCAGATCTGACTTTACAAGATAACAGTAAAAACACCGCCCTCCATTTGGCTTGCAGCAAGGTAGGTACACATTTTAAGGATATGTTTTCATTGTTTATATCAACAGTGGCATTTTTCCCAAACTTAGGGAAGCTTTCCTACTTCACCGAAGTGAACAGAGCTGGAGATCAAACTTTACTGATCACTGGCATCAGATTTCTTGAGGGGGAAAAAAAAATACTGCCCTTTTAGGCACCATGATAAAGTCTCCAGTGGGCCAAGTAAGTTTTGGAGTATTAGCCTAAACGTAATTACTATCTTCCTTTAATCTCCAGTCTTAAATATTCCTGTCTTCTCCTCTAACCTATTCCACCAACATATTTGGACCAATATTTGAGGCATTATTAGCCAAAAAAAAAATTCATGGCATATATATGGTGATGTATATATTGTATGGACAAGAGTTGAGGTTTATTGAGTTTATATATTTATCTTTAATGATATCTAAGTTTTTAAGAGTTATTTGTCATAATTTTAGGGTCATGAAACTAGTGCCTTGTTAATACTGGAAAAGATAACAGATAGAAACCTCATCAACGCAACCAATGCAGCCTTGCAAACGTGAGTATTTTCATGTCTGGTGTAAACCTTGTGACCTATAATTATAAAAATGATTAATAGGTTCTTTTTCTAACATGGGACCATTGGAATCAGTCTCAGTCACAGAAGCAGTTAATAAGTAAAGAACAGTTTTTATAATTTTTATAATTGTGACAAAACTCATTTCTAAAGTCATTACAATTAAAAGGCTTATTATTTAAAAAGGTTTTGTACTGAAACTTCATTATTGAAAATGCTGTGTTTTTTCTTGATCCAACCCATAATTTTATATAGGAAAGTAATACTATTCTGTATGTTTTATGGAAATCAACTGGAACAATATGTTACTTGACCCCAGCAATAAATGAGGTAAAAAGCTTGACATGTGTCTGTAAACTAGAGAGATTTCAGAAAGAATCGAGTTCTTAATGTGAGCAGCCATCTTTCAAGTGACCGCTTAGATCTTAGATTGAAGTCTCTGATTTTTCTCTCCCAATTTCCATTTGCTATTCTACTTTGAGTCTTGGTTTATATATATTTTTAATACTGGTTCCCATTCACGTTTCAATCAAATCTCTTGAGGGTCCAAAAACTAGTCATAGAACCTGTAAGTTATTTTCAAAGCCTATTAAAATTTGTGCTATTGAATTAATGAGTTTTATTGTATATTCTATTATATGTATTTGCCCACCTCATTCTTAAAACAACTTAAGAATGCAGTTTAGTTAGTAAAATCTTCTTAAACATTGAGTCTTAGACTCAATACCTTTGAAACAAACAAAAGGTATTGGTTAAGGTGGATTGCTGGGGGGGACAATGCTATGTTTATGCACATTGCAGGGTTTGGCAGTGCACTCTGCACATTGATTTTGTTGTCCCCCATTCCCATCTATATTGCTGTTAGGACTGGGTGCCTCAATTTTGTATTTCTGGGTCATCACAACTTAGCAAAAATGCCCTTCAACAACCAGGATTGAGAGAGAGAGAGGAAGTGTGTGTGTACACTCAGGGCCATGTACCTCTCTGTGTGTACATATGTAATATTTTTCCCCCCAGACCTCTGCATGTTGCTGCCCGAAATGGGCTGACAATGGTGGTTCAAGAACTTTTGGGGAAAGGAGCAAGTGTGCTTGCAGTAGATGAAAATGGTAAGTAGTTCTGTATTTTCTTTCATTAACCTATATTTTACTAGAAGCTTTTATCTTTCGATCCATATTTGAAGTGAAGTAAATGTGGATGTTTTGTATGGTCGAAGAGGAGAGCGGAAATTAATACTGAATAGTACTTTGTGGCAAAGGGAATAAGAGCAAGAAAAATAAGAAAAGTCTATATAACAGATGAACTTCCAAATTTCACTAACTTTGGTTTAGTGTTACCACCTTCCGTCCATCTTAGTATTCAAAGAATTTGTTCTGTCAGCAAATACTTATCAAGGCCCTTAAGGGCCAGGTTCTTATCTAAAGTTAATCATCCCACTATTCATGATCCTATTCCCTTATGCCTACTTGAGACTGTCACTTAGCAATTCTTCACTGTGTCCTGTAATACGGACTTTTTTGTAGGACTGTTCCTAGATTATTCCCATGTGTATATAAACATTATTTTCCTCATCTTAAAAAATCTTCTATTAAGGGGCATCTGGGTGGCTCAGTTGGTTAAGCGTCTGCCGTTGGCTCAGGTCGTGATCTCGGGGTCCTGGGATCGAGCTCCCTGCTCAGTGGGGAGTCTGCTTCTCCCTCTGCCTCTCCCCCTCCTGCTCGTGCTTTCTCTCTCTCTCTCTCTTAAATAAATGAAATCTTAAAAAAAATAATCTTCCATTAATCTAACTATTCCTGCAACTACTGCCATATTTCTTTCTTCCCCTTTGCAGCACAATTACTCAAGTGTTGGCTGTCCTGCTGTGCCCAGTTCTTCCCCTCTTTCATTCTCTCCTGAGGGCCCCCCAGTCATATCTTTGCCCCCACCATACTGCTACACTGTCCTCAAGATCACCAGTGATCTCCACAATATTGAGTCAGTTCTTAGTTCTCATTGTACCTGACCAATCAGAATTTAGCACAATTGATTATTCCTTTTTCTTTTTTTTAATAGGAATAAGGGTTTTAATATAGAATTTAAAATATATAGGAATAAGGGAGTAACTAGGGATGTGAAGGTTGCAGTCTGCCATAGCAAGTGTCCAATATTTCCCCAAATAATCTCCATATTTTCCTTTATGCTGCACTCTTGTTACATGGATAAATAGGTACAGATCACTTTAGGTCGGGGTAAGAAGGAGAGTCATTTGATTTGATTACAGTATCCTTTTGTAGGTGAACTCAGTCTGCCTTCATTCACAAATACCTGGTTCCTTCAATTGATAACTGGGTTAGGGTTTGTAACTTGCTGTTTTGATGGTTGGATTCAGTAACCAAATTCACTGGAACTGAAATTTGTTTTTTATTTTATAATTTTTTTAATTGAGACATAATTAACATGCAACATTAGGTTAATTTCAGGTATATACTTTTTTCTTTGTTAAACTTTTTTTACTTGGCTTTTAGGACTTTACACTTTTTGGTTTTCACCCTTTGTTACTAGTTATTCCCTCTCAGTTTCTTTTGTAAAGTTTCTCCCTAACTTCTTAATATTGGAGGGCTCTAGGACTCAGTCCTTGGGTCTTTTTGCTTCCCCTGTCTATATCCAGTCCTTTGGTTTGTTGATACTACCTACATGCTGAGAATTTCTGGATTTATATCTCCAGCCCAGACCTCTCACAATCTCTATAGAGATGTGATCCATTTGCAGATCCAGCTGCCTAACTGATAGTACTGTATGGATATCTAATAAACAGCTCAAACCTAACCTCTCCAGAACTGAACTGACTCCCTCTCCTTTCCCAGCCAACGCTTTTCTCCCCACAGCCTCCTGATCTCAGTTGATGACAATTCCCATCCTTGTAATTGCTCAGGACAAAAACCTGGAGTTATCCTTGACTCCTCTTTCTCACACCCAGGGTACAATCCTTCATATACTACTGACCCATCTCCAGAATATATCCAAAATGGTTCCACTTTTTCTATTCTTACCACGCTGGCCTGGATCCTTTTAAAATATGTGACAAGATACTACTACTCATTTGAATCTCACTTGACTTATGGTGATTGTCAAGGCCCTGCATGATTGGTCCGCTGCCCTATTTCCTCTCTCACTTCATCTCCTACTCTCTTCTTTCCATTCTGCAATGCCAGCCCCTACACACCAGGGGTCTATGTGCATTGTGATCTTTGTTCTGGCTGTTTTCTCTGCCTGGAACACTCTGTCCTCCAGCAAGTCTTTGAGTAAATCCCTTAACTGTTTCAAATCTTTACTCAAGTTTTAATCTTCTTAGTGAAGCCTATCCTAACCCAATTTATACTATAACCTGCTACAGACCTCTACCACAGTATTCTCAGTCCTTGTCATCCTGGTCTTTCCGCCTTTTTTTTTTTTTTTTTTTACATAAAGCTTATCTTCTAATATATTGTGTATAATTTAATTTTTTATTATGTCAATTGTGTGTCTCCTCCACTAGAATGAATATAAGCTCCACGGGGACAGGGAGTCTATATCAGTTGCATTCAGTGTTATATTCTAAGTGCTTAGGAGAGTCCCTGGACATAATGAGTGGTTATTTGTTGGGTGAGTAATTGTGCCAAGCACTGTGCTCAGTTCTGAAAATAGGATGTAGAATAAGACCTGCTTCTTTAAATGGAGAGGAGTGTAAACAGGCTGTTACAGTGCACTGAAAGTGGTTCATATGGAGTTAACTTAAAATGCTATGAGAACATGTAAGAGAGTGTTCAAACTCTTTCTTGCAGGATCAGGGAAGGCATCCCAAAAAAGTGACCTGTAAGCCAAAATCCAAAGGACGAGTAAAAAAGTGGGGCATGAGCTTTCTAAGCGGAGAGAGTGGCATATTTAGAGATAAAAGGACACTGTAAATATTGGAGTTGTGCCAGAATCTCTTAGATCAAGTGGCAAAAAGGATCTGTGCACGAGGAAGTTAGCAGTTAGTCTGAAGGAGAGCAATATTAGAATGGGAAAACAAATTAACATTTACAAGTGAGAGGAAGTGGTAACCAGAATTATGGTAGAGGCACTGGAGATGAAAAGATGTAAATGTTTCCAGAGATCTTACGAACGGAAACATTGGGACTTTGTGAGGGAAGAAGTCTCATCCCACCTGGCTTGGAGAGCTCTTTGGATGGATGGAAGTGCCATTGTTTAAGACTGGAATGTAGGAGGAAGAGCTAGATTCATTTGCGGGCATGAGAAGATTTCAGTGGAAACTCCCAAGTGGATAGATAATGAGACATATGGATCTAGAGACCAAAAGCAAAATCTAGGTTGGACATAAAGATTTGGGAATCATAAGTATATGTAGTCATGAAATCCAAAGAAGTGAATGATATCACCTTTAAGTTCAGACTCACAGAGCTTTAAAAGAAATTTTCATTATCAGTAAATTACATTTCTGGAAATACAGCTACTATATATGGATTAAAAAGAGCAGCCTAAAATGCTAACCTTATATGTTTGGCTACATTATGAGACTGAATCATTAGCTAATATTCAAATCTTTGTTGATCATTTTCAATATTTTATATATTTTTTTCCTTATAAATAAACGGAAGGGATAATATAACAGATGATAATGAAAGTCATCTGTGACCACCTGGGTATCTTATAACACACTTTGCAATGTGAAATAGTAATCAGGACCCAAAGTTGACAGGTCATAGCTATACCTTTCCATGGATTTTCTGGAGGAAGCAAAATATTTTATACTTGCATGGGATAGATTAGACCCTTGTCCTCAGGCTGTTTGCTTCTCTTACTTTTCTCTTTAGCTAACCATATCAACTTCATGCAGAGGAGAGGAGCCTGCTTTTTGTCATATTCCAATTACACAACACTCCTGAGATGCTCTTCTCCCCCTACCCTTACTCTCATCCAAGGCATCATGGCCTGCCTGAGGGGTTGTTCTGCCTACAGTCCAGCAGGCACCCTCAGAGCTCTTGAAAGAAGTGTGGGCATTGAAGCACTCCCCTACTCATTTTGAGTAAACAAGGTTTAATTAAAAAATGCACACCCTTCAGTCACTCCTGTCAAGTTTGCAGGGGCATCAGCTGTTCCCTTTGACCCTTAAAAAGGGGGAGATTTATAAAGGGGAAAAAATATTTCTTCTGTCTCAAGGCTAATATAGCATGGATAAAAGAAAAAAATTATATATATATATATATATAGGAGAACAGGAAACAGCCAAATGTCCAGTAGTTAGAATGGGTAACTAAACCATGATATAATCACAGTAATGGAGTGTATAACAATGAAAACAAACTGACTGTAGTTATATACAACAACATGGATAAATCTCACAGACATAATGTTAAGGAAAAGAAGCCAGATACAAAATAATACTTACTATATGTATGATTCCATTTATATTCAGTTCAAAAAAAGTCTAAACTATAGCATTTATGAATATAACTAGAAAGAAAAGCACAACCATGATTACCACGTAAGTCAAGATAGTGGTTACCTTTGTGGAAGAGAAAAGGGGTGGTGATTAGTAAGGGACATGTGTGGCTCCTGGTATGCTGGTAATATTCTCTTTCTTAATCTGGATAGTGGTTACATAAATGTTTATTTTTTGATATATCATTTAGCTATTTAAAAAATTATAAAATATAAATTAAAAATAAAATAAATAAAATATATTAATAAAAAATTATAAAATATATACAATTGACCCATGAACAACACAGGTTTGAACTACATAGGTCATTTAATACATGGATTTTTTACAGTACTATAAAAATATATTTTCTCTTTCTTATGACTTTCTTTTCTCTAGCTTACTTTATTATAAAAATACAGTTTATAATACATATAACATACAAAATATGTTAATTTTATGTTATTGGTAAGGCTTCCAGTTGACAGTAGGCTATTAGTGGTTAAGTTTTTGGGAGTCAGAAGTTGTACACAGATTTTCAACTATGCAGGGGTTCGTGTCCCTAGCCTTCCCCCTGCCCCCACATGGTCCAAGGGTCAACTGTACATATCTGAGTGTGAAAGCTAAAGCATTTGTGTATATATAGTAATAGGGAAAACTGTCCAGATGTGCAATAGAAAATGAAGCTGTAAATTAAAACTTTAAGACATTTGCTGCTAGAGTTCCATATGGGATAATCTAAACTTGGCATCATATGGTGTGCTCTCACCATCTTCTCTCTCACTTCATCTTGAAGACAGGGTCTTGTTCCAGTCAGGGTACCAAATGTTAACTTACTCAGTTTGTTGATACTTTGTGGTGCCTTAAGTGTAAAGTCAGTCTTCTAAAGAAAGGAAGAGTTGAAAAGCAAACATTGGTTTAGACTTAGGAGTTTTTAAAATTTACCTGTTTATCTCCTGTTTTTCTTCAGTGTTCTGTGTCCCTAAGAGAAAAGTTGATCAACCACCAAGTGTCATTCCATTCATTCAGTACACATCTTTGAACACCTGCTCAATGCCTCATTCATGAATCTGTACACATTTAGATTTCTCAGCATGTAAGCACTAAATATAACTACAAATTAATAACATTCTTCCACCACTCTGAAGGAAGCTTGATCAGTCTGAGGATTTTTGTTTGTTTTAATTCTAGCTCAATATCTTCTGTGAATTTAGGTGGGTAGGGATAAATTTTGAGATCTTGGAGAAATCATCTATCTCTGGGCCTGAATTTTCTCTTCTGTAACAGTATACATATACATATATATATACACACACACACACACACACACATATATGTGTGTGTGTGTGTGTATGGCCTCCTCCCACCCTAAATTTCTAGGACTTACTCTTTTCTGCTGATTGGAAATTTCTGAATCATTCTGTTAAACCAGTTTATTATAAGCCAAGTAATTTAAACTGTCTAAAACTGAAGGCCATTAGGCTTATTTCCTTATCTCAGGATGTATTTAATTATTTAAATTTTATCTTTAATTCTAGGCTATACCCCAGCTTTGGCCTGTGCTCCCAATAAGGATGTGGCTGATTGCCTAGCTCTCATTTTGGCCACCATGATGCCTGTCTCATCCAGTAGCCCTTTATCATCCCTGACTTTCAATGCCATTAACCGTTACACCAACACCTCAAAAACAGTCAGCTTTGAAGCCTTGCCCATCATGAGGAATGAACCTAGCTCCTACTGCAGTTTCAACAACATTGGTGGGGAACAGGAATACTTATACACCGACGTGGACGAGCTCAATGACTCTGATTCCGAGACCTACTAAGAGGCTGAGCCAGAGGTCTGAGTGAGGAGTTCTGACACTAACGCTTCAGATTGTGCTTTTTCAGGAAAAAGGCACTTTCTTATTCACGTACAAATTCAACCTAAGAGGAAAGATCGCAGAGTGAGCAAATATGAGAAATGTGATGACATTGGGAAGAAGAGTTTTAAAGGCAAGTTTTGCAAAAGGAACTTCTAGAATCTTGAAATAGACTTGACCAGAGGAAAACACTTTTATGTCAAATTACTTTGTGGAATTGTTTGATTTGGTTTTGCAGTGCCAGGAATAATTTGGGACACTGTGCACCCTAATCTGCTTACACAAGCAACACTATTGTAAAAGAAGAGATAAGGACACTAGATTTAAATTTTACCAGTAAAACTACAACTAAATTTAAGGGCAATAAAAGTTTGGTACAGTAGGCATTATGTGCCCAGCAAATTGCCAAAGGACCAAGTAACTTAAAAGTTTTTTAATAGAATGCCATTTTGTGGAAACCAGAATAGGTGAAATGAGACATTATCTAAACCAAACTTTAATATTTCTGAAAATGAAGCTGAGATTTGGTTTTAAATGTTGATTTTTTTTTTAAAGAAAACATCTGAAAGCCTTCGAATACTGTATTAAACCATGAGAGAAAGCAGATGTATTTTTACATTTTTTCTTTTACATAAAAATTTAAAAATTCCAACTTTTATAATATTAGAATTTAAAACCAGCTGGCTGAGTGCAGTCAGGGTGAAAATACTTGTGATGTAGACATGAGATAGATTGGGGTTGGGCCGTCGTTGCCGTTTTGAATGGTTTAGGTTTAAAATTGAACTATTTTTGTTTGAAAATGTAAAGAATTTCCTAGAAGAAGAAAATTTCATGAAATCAAAATACAGATTATTTTCACCCTATTGCAGCTAAGTGGTCCTGGGGAGTGGAGTTTTTGACCTCGCTACTTTGGATGGTACACCTTCATCACTTATGTTACTTTTGTGCCTCCACAATGGACTGGGGGATTTTTGTTTTCACTGTTTAGTGAATAATCAAAAAGAAAAAAAAAAATCCCTTGTTATTGATAGGTTAATATCATCGGGTCTCTTGGAAGGCATTTCTATATTGGGTCCTATTCAGATTTAAACATGCTACTACTTGGGGAAAGAAGCAGTTGCCTGCCGAATTGGAAGACTGCCTTTCAAATAACAGAGAGAGAAAGGCTGTTTAGGCTTTTAAATAACAATTTGTATGGTTCTGCTTTTACTGTAACTGTCACTTTCCCAGCAAGAATGATTTCACGTATGTAGGGGGTCTTACAGATCTGGGTAAAGTTCCATAAATTTTCACAAAATGATACCCATTTTCATTTTATCCTTTTTGTATTGTGAAACTGGAAACTTTATGACATTGTAAATTTCAGCTGGTTTTTCTGAATATAAAGTGTGAAAACACAGAACAGTATTTTGATCTATTTGATAATTTTGTGGGGTTTTTGAAGAATTAATGAGCATGTACATAGAAATAGTGACTGCTTGAATACTGTATTTACTTGCACTCTTTCAGTACATCAAGATTCCTGTATATTTTAGAGTATAATAAAACACAGATGTGAGTTGTATTTAATGAATAATGTATTTGTATCTGTGCATATTACCTAAAAATCTATAAAGTTTCTAGGGCATTGACTACTAGATTTTAAGCATTTTTTTCTAAAATATTTACAGAAATTATAAATGTAATCCTCCATCTTTTCTTTATAATATAAAGGAGTCATAATGGACCCTTCCTAAATTATTAGTGGTAGGAAGGTGAATTTGCATTTTAAAGACAGTGGACTACATTTTCTATTGTACCTTTTGAAAAGAAAAAAAAAGAGGATTCTAAAAGTATACATATGTGTGCTTTCTCTTTCCTTTTAGGAATTCTCTTCTGAATTCCCTGAGGGAATTTTCTAGAATCTCAGAATTGAAAGAGACCTGAGGTTCATCCAGTCTAACCTCTTAACAAATGCAGGAGTCCCTTCTACAAGGGTGATCTTTCCACCTTGAACACTTCCAGTGATTCTACCTCACCAAGCAGTCCATTCAGTTGTTGAGCAGCTCTAACTGTTAGAAAGGTCTTCCTTAGATGGAGTTGAAGCCTCCCTCCCGGTAACTTCTGTCTTTGGGCCTGGGTCTGTCCTCCAAGAGAACACGAGAACGTTGGAAGGATGAATCTCATGCCCTCTGCCATGTCTTCTCTTTTACAGGCTGTTTGACTTACCTGCTGAAGTGATTCCGAGAAGGACTCATTAAACACAGATTTACCCATCTAATGAAATCCAAGGTGTAGCTATAAAGTAACAAGCTGTTTTTAACTTATCCTCACACATGCCAGAACGTAGATCTTGCATCACTTTATGTAAATGATGCTATTACTGAAAATATTTGTGAGGTGGTTCTTTCAATCGCTTGCCCACTAGGAAATCTGTTTCATTGCTTTGTGATCGCATTTTGTGATAGTCTATCCCCAGCTTGATCAGCCACTTCCTTTGGTCTGCACCTAATGAGGGGAAATCCCAAACTACTGGTCCAAATACTATTTGAGCAGCCCTAGTTTTGTTGGAGTACGTACATGGACAACTTCAGTGAATGAACACAGCAGCACAGTAAGTTCCCTTATAGTTACACCTTGTATGTCAAAAGCATTCAGGCCCTGCTCTGTAGTGGTTTTTATACTCAAACAGAACAGAAAAGCCTGTTTGCTTTCTTAAGTTCTGCATGAACGATGACATCTGAAATATCTGATGTGTATTATAGTAATACCAGCTTCTGCTCTAGAACTACTTTGGGGGAAATGGTGGTAATAGCAAATGACTTCCTTTAACAAGACACTCAACTCAAACAGTGCCATTTAGTTCAGGAGGTCTAAATAGCTGTCAATTTGGGGTTTAATTTGGCTTATATTGGACCTTTTAAATGAAATAAAATTTTTTAATGCAATAAATCAAGTGTCTTTCTTTTTTACATGCAAACTTCTTTATCTTTTAATGTCTAATTAGTATTCCAACTAGTTTCTAACCTTTCTTGAAAAACTTGATGGCTTCTCAATAAAAAACTGTTTCAGAATTTTAGATGAACCTAAATGGGCTTCTCAAATATATTCATTCAACAAGTATCTATTGCTTGCCTGCCATATACTTGAGGGTGGGAATGGGCAGAAAGTGAGCCTAGAAATTGTGGTGGCCTCTAGAAATTATAGTCTCATGGAAAGACATATACCTGAAAATAGAAAGTATAAAATTGTAATTGAGGTAGAGATGAACTGCTAAGGAAGGTCAGAGAAAGATGACTTTGGAAAAGAAGATCAGAACAGGCTTCCTGGGAGAGATGACATTTAGGCTGGACATTGAGGAACAACTATGCTTTGAGCAGGTGGAGAAGAGGGCAATGCTATCCTAGGTGAAAAGAACAAAATCAGTAGTTTGTAAAATGAGTTGGTGGAAGAGAGGTTGGAATAGGTGTCAGCACTTAGCATTCCAGAGTACAAAAAGACAAAAGAGCTAATTATACACATGTACAGAGATGAGATAACAAAAGTGAAAACAAAAAGATACAAATAGGTGACCGGAGGAGCAGGCAAAGAGGACTTTAATAACCTTGCTCAAAATCTTCTGCTGGTATTAATAACTCAAAATGCCTGTAACTGTTTATAAGTACTGGGTGAGGTTGTAAGTAATTGAAATACATCTCTTAATCCACACAACTATCCTGTGAGGGAGGTACTATTAATAGTACCATTTAACAGATGAGGAATGAGGTGAGAAAGGTGTAATAACTTGCCCAAGATCACCTGGCCAATAATTCATGAAGCCTAGATTTAAATCCAGACAGTCATTTCTGTAGTCCTTGCTCTTAACCACCTAATGACCTCTAACATGCTTTCTGGTCCTTGTTGAAATTGGTAATTTTGAAGTTCGACCACATGTTTTACAACTAAACTATGTTAAGTTCCTTTCAGTTTTATTCTAAGTCACTAATTTTAGAAGAAACGTAAATGTGACCGCAACAGATGTTAATTGAACATCTGCTAATTACCAGAAAGTGTGCTAGATTCTCGACCTATAGCACTGAAGGAAGAGGTAACAAGATTTGCCCTTAGGATGAGTCTAAGAGAAAGATGTGTACTTAGGTTTCAGTTGCTATTGCTGCCCCAAATCTCAACTTAAAATAATCATTCTCACTCATGCTTTTGCAGGTTGGCTGACAGGCTTGGCTGGGTGACTGCTTCAAGCCGGAGATCTGGCTGGGCTTGACTACTTGCCATGAGTCGAGCTTGGGTCTACTCCGTCCGTGTTCCTCTTCAGACTTCGACTAGACTGCAGAAGTTCTCCAGAAGTTCTCCATGATGATGACAAAAGCACAAGAAGGCAAGCCTGATCACACAAACACAGTTTATGCTTCTGCATACATCACATCTAATACTCCCCTGGCTAGAGCAAATCATTTGGCCAAGCCCAACCTCAATTGGATAGTTGGCCGAGCCACCCCCCCAATGGGAAGTTGGTTCATTTCTGGTACCCAAAATAACAGCAGTGCTGTGGGTAACATTGTTTGAGACCTAGTAGAAATAAAATGCATTTTTTACTTGATGATCTGCTTTTGAGCCCTTATGTATGCCACAAATATGGCAGAACCTAGCATGCATGAGAGAAAAGATGCTTGTGGTTCATTTTAAGAAATGCCAAAATCCAAGAAAATGTGAATGAAGAGAATTAAAGGGATAGGGGCTTCTGGAGAAGAGCTTTGTCTTTATCCACCTGTAGGAGGCAATAAATGTGTGGGAGTGTGGGGGGAAAGGCCATCAATTGCCTGCAGTTAGGTGACTAATAGGAATAGACACTGTAAGTGGTCAAATAGCTTTTACCAGCTGATATCAGTGAAAATGGCAGAGAAAAGAACTTCTGAGTCTCCGTAAGAACAGTGACCTTTGTGGTGTTTTAACTTGCTCTAGTGGCATTCCTCATTACAGCTCTGCAGTAGCCTTGACACCACATTCCTGGTGCAGCTTAGAAGTCACAAGAGAGAACAAAACAAAGCTAGAGCTCTTGCAAAGCCTCATTCCCAAAGACTTGCCATCATTTGACCTATCTGATGGTTCCCCGGAATGCCTCACAAAGGCTGTTTACAGTTGAGCTAACTCAGAGTGGACCCAGTATGAAAAGTATTCTCCCTGGGGAGGTATTTGTTGAAACAATTATAGGCAAAAGTTTTAATGTTGTACTTGCTTTAGGTAATCACTAAGAGCTGAGGCAAACAATAGACTAACCAAAGAGTTTAAAAGGAAAAGCTTGGGGGAATCAATACCCATAGGAGCTTTGTAAAGCTCTGGCATAGTTCTAGGAATCTAGAATGCCATGTGCACACATAGAGCTGTGGCCACCTGTGGAAGACCTGAGACCACCCTATGCTCTCACCTATGGCTAATTTTGAGGCTCTGCACAAACAAGAAGTGAAAGCCAATTTTCAACTGCCAGGCTGAGGT